AAATATATTTTATATGCTGTGCTTTCAAATCCCAGTTCCACTGCCACGTCCCTAGTCTGAGTCGCCAGCATTACTCATCTAAACCACTGCTTGTCTCCAAACATCTGCTATTGCCTCCTGTATCAGAGTTTTTAGGTGCAAACACTTGAATCTAATCTAGTTAGGTCAAGCAGAGAATACACTTATTAAAGGTTATTTGTACATAGAACCTCTAGAATGGACAGATTCAAGCTTTGCAGTTAGGACCAATGCCTGAATCTCTGAATGTAGGAGCTGCCCCAGAAAAGACACCTGCCACAGCCGCTTGGCACAGATCCCACAGCCATGCTGACAAAGCTAAGGAACTAGGTTCCAGAAGCTCTGCCAGTGCTGTCTCCAGAATTTGACAGCTGACTTTGCTCTATCACCAAAGTCCATTTTTCTCATTGCCCACTTCCTCTTTTTGCCCAATTCCTTATGACACCTCACAGGAGTCAGAAACACATGCTCATGCCTTAGCTGCAAGGGTAGATGAGAGTCTGGGCTTCTATGTAAGAGGCTCAGTGTGAGAAATTCTCCAGATGTATAGGAATTGTCAGGAAATGAAGAGTGGCCACAAACAGGATAAATGTCCTCTATATCCCATTCCAGCTCATACTTCACAGTGCAGGCAAATCATTCTAAAATACAAAGCTGATTTTTATTAAGTTTAAATTAATTGTGGAAATTTAAAAGTGCATTAGTACACATGTAAGTGTATAAGGAACCTCCATGTATCTTTCACCCAACTTCAACAAATATTTTGCCAATCTTGTTTCATCTATTCTGATGCTCTTTCCCCATTAGAGTATTTTGAAACAAATCCCAGACATCATTTAACTTCTATCTGCAGTATCTATCTTTAACAGATAAGAGCCTTTTTGAGGCATAACCATTATACTACCTCACATCTCAGAATTAGCAATAATTCCTTAATATCATCTAATATTGAGTTTGGTTTCAAATTTCTCCAAATGTCTCAAATGGATCCTTTTACATTTGTTTTATTTGAAACAGGATCCAAAAAAAGATCTTTAAGTTTCTTCTCATCTCTTTGATCTCTTATTTATTTTTTTAAAGATTTTGTTTATTTGTTTATTCATGTGAGACACAAGAGAGAGAAGCAGAGACATAGGCAAAGGGAGAAGTAGGCTCCCTGCAGGAAGCCCGATGCGGAACTTGATCCCAGGACCCCAGGATCACAACCTGAGCCAAAAGCAGACATTCAACCACTGAGCCACCCAGGCGTCCTGGTTTTTTTTTTTTTTTTTTTAATAAAGAAACTGGATCTACAAAATATATTGCCTTCTGGGTTTAGGTACCCAGAGGTAGTATTTAATTTGCAGATTCTCTGAATTTCCTATAAACTGGTAGCTTATACCTATAGGCTTGACTATATTCTGGTTTATTTCTTTTTTTTTTTTTTTTTGGCAAGAACACTTTTATAAGTGGTGCTATGTATTTCCTGCTGCATCAAATCATGAGATAAAATTTACCCACTTTCAATGATGTTAAGAATAATCAGTGGGTTCAGGTGTTGTCAGCCCATTAGTCCTTCAGAAAGTTCTTTATTAACGCTCACCTAGTTTTATTTTCATTTTTTTAAAGATTTTATTTATTTGTGATAGAGAGAGAGGCAGAGACACAGGCAGAGGGAGAAGTAGGCTCCATGCAGGGAGCCCGATGTGGGACTCGATCCCGGGACTCGAACCCGGGACTCCAGGATCACACCCTGGGCAAAGGCAGGTGCTGAACCGCTGAGCCACCCAGGGACCCCCTCCCCTAGTTGTTTTAGCCATCATTGATGATTGTTACCCCTATTACTTCACTAGAAGTTGCTAAATGGAGATCCTTATATTATTCATTTTGTATATATTAGCTTGGATTCTTTCTTTTTAAGATTTATTTCTTATGAGGCAAAAGTCACCAGAGGTAGGAGGTTGAGCTGGGTCACATGACTCAGGAGAGGTAGTAGAATCAAGCCTCTCAGAGTTTTTACCCTTCCTCCCTTCACAGAAGCCCTACCTGACACCTCTAGGTGGAATGAGACCCTGGCTCCCTTAGGCTTACAGAACTGTGCATACTTTCTCTGTGGTGCTTCCAATATTATTAAAATTGCACATGTATGTATCTTCCCACTAGACTGTGAGCTCCTAGAAAATACAGACCCAGGCCTTAAATAAAACACACAGGATTTAACTAAAAAAAAACAAAACAAAACAAAAAACAAAAAAAAAAAAAACCGATTTATTTCTTAGAGAGTGTGGTGAATAGGGGGAGGGGCAAAGGGAGAAGGTGAGAGAATCCTCAGATTCCATGCTGAGCCTGTCACGGGGCTTTATCTCACAACCCTAAGATCATGACCTGAGCCAAAATCAGGAGTTGGATGCTCAACCAACTGAGCCATCCAGGTGCTCCTAACTTGGATTTTTCTATGGGAAAAAACTTTCCCTCAGCAAGTTCAGATATGTGAAAAGCAGAATAAATGCTTGAGTCTTTATTTTCTGGTTTTCAGAATAAAGATTTAAAGCCCTAGCAACCTAGTCAACCAAAGGTGACTAATAGGGCTTTTTTTTTTTTTTTAAGATTTTATTTATTTACTTGACAGAGAGAAAGGGGTGGGGGGAGAAAGCATGAGCAGAGGGAGAGGGAGAAGCAGACTCCCCGCTGAGTAAGGAGTCAGGCTCGATCCCAGGACCCAGAGATCATGTCCTGAGTGAAGGCAGATGCTTAACTGACTCAGCCACCCAGGTGCTCCTATTTATTTTAGAGAAAGAGAGCAAGCAGTGGGGCAGGACACAGGGAGAGACCTCAAGCAGACTCCCTATTGAGCTCAGAGCCCAGTGGAGGGCTCAATCCCATGACCCTGAAATCATGACCTGAGTGAAACCAAGAGTTGGTCACTCAACTGAGCTACCAGGAGCCCATTTATTTTTAATACCATTTTTAACTCATAGATTTTCACATATTTGTTGTGTTTAAATCAGCTACAGATACTCTTTTCAATCCTTTAACTGCCCTATTTTGGGCCAGTAGTAGTCTCTTTATTTGACTCCTGTGTCCTTTTGGCAAGACTTGTGTAGTCTTTGAGAACATTCTTGCTTTCTGGCACAAGATGTCTTAACTTCATTTTACCCCACACCTGGAATCAGACATTTCTACGAGCACAAGTTTCTTTTTTAGAGACCACATTACCTTAAATGTCTTCCCATTTCTCTTAAATCCAAAATACCTAATATGGTATCATGCTTCCTGACATTGGTATGTCACAAATGCGTTATACTCCTGTTGGGAGTGGTCCCGCAGTGCGAGGCAAGGTTCCAAGTTGAGCCAAAGCTCCTTGTCGTCCCTAGCCAACCCGCAGTCCTGCGGCGTGAGGCAGGGTTCTGGGTTGAGCAAAGGCTCCTTGTCATACCTGGCCAACCTGCTGGGGCTGCACCTAGCTCTTCCCCCTTATGGAAGTAAATGTACATATTTGCTTCTCCTTTAAAATGTTATCGAGACAAGTTCCCATAAAGCAAGCAAGAAGGTGGCCTGACACATGACCACCTTGGCAGACATTACTTAATAAACAAACTTCACTGTTTAGTCTATATGTGGCCTTCCTGCTCTATTGCTTAAACAAATAACAGGTGTCAGTCTTAAAAACAATGTATGTTTGTGCGCGAGATGTACTTCTCCTTAAAGAAATAAGCCGCCTGCTTACAGAGGCTATATAAACTCTACATGCAAAAATAAAGCTTGTCCATTGCGGCCATCAGCTGCATGGAACCTCCTATCCCATGAACTTTTAGTCTCTTGTTTCTTTCTCATCCCCTTGCCCTCGGTTACCTGAATCCGGACCTTCTCGCGCCGGCCGCGACATACTCCTAAATGGAAAATTGACCAATTCAGAGCTGAGTTGATTGGTGGAGCCTATGTTGTCTGAAGAAGCTGGGGACAAGCAACTTCATCTATTTTCCACAGTGGTGCATGTAATATTTTCTACGATTGCAATGATGAGAAAACAGGAGGTGACGGTATAGTGGATAAACATCTGTTTGTCAGCTCAACAGACCTTCCTTTGATGGAAACTCCTCCATTCAGTTTTAAATCTTTTTAGTCCATGTAATCAAGACGAGCCTGACCAGGTTCTTCCCCTCCTGTCTCTTCCACATACAAATTGCATTCCCAGAATGGACGCAGGATCCAGGCCTGGGTTAGTAGAGGATTCCATTCCCTGCCCATCTGGGCAGTTCAGGGATGGGTATATATGCTAAAGTTGGCTAGTTGGAGCCTCTTCTGATATTTCTGCCTGAGCTAATTTTCTCTGGACTTGTGACTTACAAAGATGTTGCAAGATTGGAGCTGCTGGTGCCCATCCTGCCACAGAATGGAAAGTACCTGAAAATAAAGTCAAGCATGTAGAACTAGAGTCTTGAAGACATTTTTTAGACTCCTAACTCCACCCATGCGTAAAGTTAGAATACCTCTTACCACTGGAGACCTACCACCCGAGGTCTACAAGACCTTGAATTGTCCCTCTAAAGCCTCAACTAATAAGACTCTTTCTCAATCACTGTACTCTAACCACCTTAGATCTATTTGTGGTTCCATGAAAGCCCTAATATCTTACCACCTCCAGGGCTTTGCACCTGCCATGCCTTTGGCCTGAAATGCACCAGTCCAAACCTTTCTCTCCACCAGGCCTCAGTTAACCGTTATTTCCTCAGCAAAACAGTCCCTGACATTCCTGTTCAGCTCAGACCCTCTGTTAATCACCCTCATAGCTCCCTATACATCTCTCTCATCACCCTTTCCTTAAACATAATCATTTGTGCAACCACTTCACTAATTAATGTCTAATGTTCCTGCTAATATGTAAGTCCCATGAGGGGAGGTGCTCTGTGATTTTGACATGGTGATTGGTACATAGTAGGTATCTCTTGAATATATATTGAAAGTATGAGTAAATAATTTTAAGGCTTATGGCACATATACATAATAATTTTATTAGAAAATGTACATTCGCAATGTTAAAATACATTAAATTACAAATAAATTTGCAGTAGTCGAAAAAGGTACCAAAAAATATCCTCTCATAATAAGTTAATCTCAAGAATTTGAGCAGATGCAGATAAACAGTATATACTTATTCCCCCAAACAAATATTATACACAGATTTATTTCACTTTATGCAGGATAACTGGAAGAGTTTAAATGTAGGCCAGCTTAGCAAGGTAACATGGAGATGCTTTGTGAAGTTATAAATCCCTTCAAATATAAAAATCACTTTAAGTTTTGGTTTTCAAAAACTTATTTTTTCTGAAATACAAACTATTTTCAGCAGCTTTTCATACCTATCATCTTTTCCAATTTATAATCCACTTGACCCACTCAAGACCTCAACTAGTGATTTTTTCCTGAAACTTTATCCCCCTGCCTTTTCCTCAACCCTATGTCATTTCCTTGTCATCTTCTGCGCCAAGATGTGTGGTGGTATAATCCAGAAAAGAAAGCACTCAATAAAAAGAAAGATGTTAGTCATTTTTTTTGATGTTAGTCATTTTTGTAAAATTATAGTTTAGCTGAATTTTATTCGATATTATAAATCTTTGGAAGTTGGGCAACTTCTCTATGTCATATTCTTGGATGGAAACAGTCTGTTATGCTAAGATAACAGCCTCAATTAGTGGACTTCATATTATATTTTCCAAATATTTCTGCTAACAGGAGTCACCAGTACATGTAATTTACACTAAAATAAGCAATTAACTGCCTTGCAACTTTCTGGCCTACTTTCCCCACTCTAACAAATTTAGTGGTTTAGAGTGTGGAGTCTAAAGACAGATATTTATTAGACAAATGTCTTAATTTCTCTGTGCCTGTTCTTTTATCTGTAAAATGGGAATCATAACAGTAACTTTGCTTCATAAGACTGCTGTGAAAACTAAACTCTGTATTACATATTGCCTGCAATATGGGAAGAATTCTATAAATGTTCACTATTAGTTTCATCATCACCATTATTTTCTATTGTACACACTATCTAAACCAAGGGTGTTTACTTTTTAGGATTAGAAGTAACCCAAAAAATGTAAGACTGAGGAAAGAGCTGCAGAACATAAAAGAAGAGAGATCCCAGGTCTTGACCAGACAGAAACCCCTGGCTATGGCTCTGATAAGTCTAACCAAAGCAGAGTCTTGCTATGGGAGATGAAGACGAGTAAAAACAATCTCTAAAATTTAATCAAGATTTCTGTCAGATTAAGCTTTCTATTAAAGCTGAAGTTTGATTTATGAGTATGGCAAATTTCAATAACAAAAAGCCAAATAGTCTGATTTTAAAATGGGCAGAGGAGGAGCACCTGGCTAGCTCAGTCCATAGAGCACTAGATTCTTGATTTTGGCGTCATGAGTTCAAGTGCCACACTGAGTGTAGAGCTTACTTAAAAAAAAAAAAAAAGATTAAAAAAAATGGGCAAAGGATCTGAAAAGACATTTTTCCAAAGGGCATACATATGGTCATCAGATATATGAAAGGATGTTCCAGATCAACTAATCCTCAAGGAAATGCAAATGAAAACCACAATGAGATGTCACTTAACACCAGTGACAATGGCTAATATGAAGAATATAAGAAATAGCAAGTATTGATGAGGAAGTGAAGAAAAGGGGGCCCTTGTGCACTGTTGGTGGAAATGTAAATTGGTGTAGCCACTGTGAAAACAGAATGGTGGTTCCTCAAAAAATTAAAAACTACCATATGATGTGGCAATCCCTCTTATGGGTATATTTCCAAAGGAGGAGGCAGGATTTCAAAGAGATATCTGCACTCCCATGTTCACTGCAGCATTATTCACAAAGCCAAAATATGGAAACCACTTAGATGTCCATCAACAGAGGAATAGATAAGGAAGATGTGCGTATGTAGTGAAATATTATCAGCCATGAGAAAGGAGATCCTTCCATTTGTGGCAACATGGATGGACCTTGAGGTCATTATGCTAAGTGAAATAAGACAAAGACAGGGACATATACTATATGATATCACTTATATGTGAAATCTAAACGAGCTGAGCTATTAGAGGCAGAGAGTTGGATGATGGTTAACAGGGATTGGGGGTGGAGGAAATGGGGAGATGTTGGTCAGAGAACTTCCTATATTAAGTGAGTTCTGGGGATTTACTGTACAACATGGTGATCACAATTAATAATAGTGTATTATATAATTTAAAGTTGCTAAGAGAGTAGCTCTTAAATGTTCTCACCAAAAAAAAGAAATGATAATTCTGTGATAGGATACAGGTATTAGCTAATGCTATGGTGGTAATCTTTTTGCTATATGTAAGTTCATCAAATCAATGCATTATACACCTTAAACTTACACGATGTTATATGTCAATTATATCTCAATAAAGCTGGAAAAACAAAAGGTACAGGGAGAAGATATCTATCTACAAGCCAAGGAGACCTCAAAAGAAACCAACCCTGATGACAACCTCGATCTTAGAGTTCTAGCCTCCAGAACTGTGAGAAATAAATTTCTGTTGGTCAAGCCAAAAAGAAAAAAAAAAGAAAATAAAAGAAAAAAGAAAGAAAGAGAGAGTATAGCAAACATAGTATAAAGTGCACATTATAGTGTTTACTTATTTACTTTAAGATTTGAAAACAGAACTTAGAATAGGAAACATTTGGAAAATATTTAGAAATATTTTTGTATTTTTTGGTAATATTGATTATCAGTATACCTAATTCTATACTAGTTCCTCTTATCAGTATTCAACTTACATAGAGGTAGAAATGTATACATAGTGTGATTTAGCCAACTTCAAGTAAACTCAGTACATTGTTACAGTAAAGCAATTTTACCACAAATATTTATTAGCCTAACTAGATTATGGCTGTCATGGCCCATGCAAATTTAAAATTCTACAGTTCTGAATAGCTACGGAGACATAGTCTAAAAACTGTATGTCTTCCTTGTCACTACCAAAAGATGGGAAAAGTAAATAAAGTGATAGTTTTTCTCCAGAATTTAAGGGAGTTGAAAATGTCAATAATTTGAATAAATAGCAACACACTTGACTTACATTTCGAAAGTGAATAATTAGTACCTGAAAGAAAAATGTAATTAGTCCTATTAAAGGTAGTGTAATTCATCTTGATCTCTTAATCCTCTTTAGTGCTCAAATATTAGCATTATTTGTGCTTACCTATTAACTTAGGGGTTACTTAGTGAGATCGTGAACTAAAATAGGACAAAAGGTGTAGTATTAAAAATAATGACTTATAGAATGTCAGGGAGAATGGCAGGCCCTGGTAAATAGAAAATTTAAGAGTCACGACTTTTATTTCATAGGAAAACTGAAAATAGAAGCTGCATTTTTTTTTTTTTAATAAATAAAAAGTAGGTATCTTCAAACATAGGTACTTCTATTTAGGTAATTTCTATAATTTCATTCTTTTGTTATAGTTAATTCATACAGAACTCTCCTTATGGTTTCACTGCATATTTTCTCATTTTCATGACACCTCTGCAGGCTAAGAGTACAACTTCATATTTATAAACCATTGTCCATTCACTCATGAGTTCATGCAACCCCAAAAGAGACGCGATAATAGAATATCTTTTTGAAATAAGGAAATTGTGAACCAGTGTTTTTATATTAGGTCACTGTTCACAATTACATATAGAATTGTCTGTATTATTCAATATATGTTTTTGTAATTAAAAATATACAATATTTGCAGCCTGACTTTTGGAAACTGACTCATAATAATGATCTAGCAGAGCCTTGGAAGAGGAAGTCCCATACAACAAGTACTTTCCATCATAGTGTTAGGTTACTTTTTTTTTTTTTTTAAGACCTTATTCATTCATTCATGAGAGACAGAGAGAGAGAGAGGCAGAGACATAGGTAGAGGGAGAAGCAGGCTCCATGCAGGAAGCCCGATGTGGGACTTGATTCCAGGACTCCGGGATCATGCCCTGAGCCAAAGGCAGACACCCAACCACTGAACTACCCAGGCATCCTGTGTCAGGTTACTCTTGAATCCTTCCATGCCTTACAGAAAAAGCAACAAGCCTTCTGTAAACCACACCCAGGAGTATGATGGTAAGCATCACTATTCCACACACAAGGCTGAATGCCCATCGTGGGCCCCAGGAAGTGTACACTTGGCTGATGAACACAGGTCCAAGAATCCGTGCTGCACTTCCAGAAGCTGTTAACCAGCCCATGTACACACCCTGTGGCAGGGAGAGGAGAGGGAGAAGCAGATTGATATTCAGGTTTAGTTAGTTTAAAAATAAGGATGATACAAAAATTAATAATAATGATACTACTATTACCAAACTATGATAAACTCACAAGAATCACTTTCTCCATCTTTTACTTTTAAATTAAATATAAAATGCCTCTCTATAAATACAGCAACTAACAAACAGTAAACTTATTTGATTAGTCAGTTTAAGAAAAATAAAGTAGTATAAAGAGACAAGCAGTGTCACCTGAAGCCCTGGAAACAATATAATTTTTTAATTATCCTTATGGCTAACATTTATTTTGTACTTACTATCTGCCAAACACTCTGCTAGGTGCTTTACATATATTGTTTCCAACATTCACAAATTTCTACAATTGCTATTATCCCCATTTAACAAATGTGGAAGCTGAAGCTCAGAAAATTCAAATAACTTGTCCAAGCATGTTTGGCTGACTCCACTATATCACTTTTCATTATACCACAAGGTTGCTCTTCCAACTACTGTACCCCCCAAACCATAACCCTACAATCTACCCAAGAATGTATTGTGCAGCAATACTTTTAATATCCTCAAATTGAAAATAACTTAACGGTCCATCACTGGTAGATTAAGTAACTAAATTATGGTATATTTAATGAATGGACTGCTAATCCGTTGCTTAAAAGAACAAGATCTTATACGGAGTAAGAGCCTGCTTCTCCCTCTGCCTATGTCTCTGCCTCTCTCTCTGTGTCTCTCATGAATAAATAAATAAAAATCTTTAAAAAAAAGAAAAAAAAAAGTCCAGAAGTATACAAATGAACAGGGGTCAGCTTTAGTGTGTTGAGGCTAAGGGAAGCCTTCATTTTCTACTGTACACATTTCAAACTATTTGAATTTTGTTACAACTATCTTTTGTAATCTGCTTTTATAATATGCTTTTTTTTTATTTTAAAAATTTGAAAAACAATTTTATAGGTTAAAAAACTCAGAAGTGTTTATTATAGCTTAAAAACACAATATTAAACATTTTCTTTTCTCTGCCTTACTTCAATAGAAACATTAATTTTTGCCCTGAAAATGTAAAACCATTGGTGTAATTTTTAAAGAAGAAATTAATATTTTCATTTTGTGACCATTTAAACAACTTCTACTAAAAACAAGAGTCAGAAATAAAACTTGAGGGTCACCTGAGTGGCTCAGTCAGTTAAGTGTCTGGCTCTTGGTTTTGGGTTCAGGTCATGATCTCAGGGCAGTGAAACTGAGCCCCGCATCAGGCTCTGCACTCAGCAAAGAGTCTGCCTGAGATTCTTTTTTATTTTTTTTATTTTTTATTTTTTGCCTGAGATTCTTTCTCTCTCTCCCTGCCTCTTCCCTCACTCTCACACTTATTCTCTGTCTCTCCAAAATAAAATAAAATCTTTTTTTTAAAAAAAGTGCTAAATATGATAAAAATCTGCTAAGTCAGCTTATGTAAAAGTAGAGAATGGTAGCAAAAAATGTGAATGCTTACAACTATATTTCATTTAATTGCAATAGCAGTATCAGAGTAATTGACTCACCTGAGGTTTTGGTCCCAAAATTTTTGAATATAATGTATAGGACATAACACTACAGGATGGATAGCCTATTCCAATGAGCACAGCTGATATGAGGAACTGGGCCAGGTGGATCATGGGGGTGTAGAAGCACCAAGCTTGTCCAATTGGGCAACCAGTTGGTCCTTCATTGTGATCTTCTTTTGGAGACTTCCAAAGAGTAATAATAATTTCCCCAAATGTGGTATTAGGAATTGAATTATTATGTAGATCTATAAAAATAAAATTAGTACAGTGCATTACTTGCTAATTTTAGATGAATAACAGGGGTTAACATTATAGAAACATGTATGGCTATACCTTCCCACTGTATCTTGGGAAAGTGATTTCCCCAAGGTAACAAGATAAAGAAGCCAACCCATACAACGATGAATCCTCCCAGTAGAATAGCACGCTCGCCAATCCTGTTAAAGAACAGAAACTCTGTAATTTAAAAATAAAACAGTATTACATAGTTTCATTACTTTAATATTTTAAAAACTATGATACAGTATCTTGATGCTTTTAGTCATATACCACTTAATATGAATGTTAAATATAAATTTCCACTAAATAGAACCAGCAGATTTCAGGTCTGGAATAGAAAATGTGTAAGATGAGCCCGGAAGGGCAGCCTGGATAGCTTAGTCAGTTAAGCATCTGTCTTTGGCTCAGGTCATGATTTCAGGGTCCTGGGATCAAACCCCAGATGGTCTCCCTGCTTTTCCCTCTGGCCTTCTTCCCATACCTGCTCTCTTTCTCTCAAATAAATAAATTAAAAAAAAAAAGATAAGCCTGGATACTTTTTTTCATACTAGAGAATATAGAAGCTATCAGTCTACCAGGTACTTCTAATATCTAGATAAAGGTACTCTGAGCCAATCTGAAAATGCTGGCCAAAAACACAACAGTGTGAACACAAAAAATAATAGTAATGACAATGGGTTAAAACATATAAAAATGTTATAATATATGAATTCATATTTTATTAAAATAAAATACTCTTGGGATCCCTGAGTGGCTCAGCGGTTTAGTGCCTGCCTTCGGCCCAGGGTGTGATCCTGGAGACTTGGGATTGAGTCCCATGTCGAGCTCCCTGCGTGGAGCCTGCTTCTCTCTCTGCCTGTGTCTCTGCCTCTCTCTCTCTGTCTCTCATGAATAAATAAATAAAATCTTAAAAAAAAAATACTCTTGGTTACTTTTAGAGAATGTTAGGGCACCAACTCATTATTTTAAAAAATCAGTTAATTAAAGGAAATAGTCTTCTTGTCGTTCCTATACAAACTGTACCTCAAGATAAACAAATAGTTGGTGATGAGAAGATTCTCTCTAAAGAAAATATTCCAAAAAATTAAATAAAGACACAACAGAATTAAAACCCAGCACTGTACAATAATCTATTAAATTAATGAATCTAGGAATGATTGATAGTCATTAACAGTGTAAAATGAGATAAAAAAAATATAACATTTCTCCTGATATAAGCACATAATACCACATATAAAGTATATTCTTGCCAAAAAATTGAACTCAAATTTCATCAAGCTTCTAGATCTAAGTTCCAATTTTTGAGAAATTTAATAAACACAGGAAAATGTTAAAAAAACAAAAACAAAACCGGGGCAGCCAGAGTGGCTCAGTGGTTTAACGCCGCCTTCAGTCCAGGGCGTGATCCAGGAGACCTGGTATCCAGTCCCATGTCAGGCTCCCTGCATAGAGCCTGCTTCTCCCTCTGCCTGTCTCTCTGCCTCTCTTTCTCTCTGTGTCTCATCAATGAATAAATAAAATCTTAAAAAAAATTAAAAAAAATTAAAAACCCACCACAGGAATTCAATTAGCAAGATCCAAAATGTGAGAAACTATAAAGTATACATACATCCTAGTTTCTTTAATTTGTAAGGAAAAAAAAGGAATACAGAAAGCCTATAGATTAAAAAAGACTTAAGGAACTTAGTCAAGTAAGTTGTGAAACAAAACAGTATGAAACAAAACAAATCTTAAAAAGTATTGAAACAGTACAGGAAATTAGATAATATTTGCCTGGATATTTGATGATAGTGAGAAATCACTTAATTTTTAAATTTATTTTTGTTATTTATTTAAAGATTTATTTATTTGAGAGAGAAAGAGAGCACTATGTGTGTATTCACTGGGGGGAGAGATGGAGAGAAACTCAAGCAGGCTCCCAGCCAGAGCCAGAGCCAGGCAAGTCTCCATTTCACAACTCTGAGATCATGACCTGAACTGAAATCAAGAGTCAATGCTTAACCGACTGAGCCACCCAGGTGCCCCATGGTTAATTTTTTTAGATGTGATGACATTGTCATCATTTACTTTTAGAGATACATACTGAAATATTTATGGAAGATATGAAATGATATCAGGGATTGGCTTCCAAATAATCCAGGGATAGAGGATAGGGATAGGGAATGTGGAGTAGGTAGCAGTATATATGAATCACAATTATCCAAGGATTAGTAATTGCTAAGGTTGGGTAATGCATATTAGAAATTCAGGACATGATGCTCTCTAAACCTTTGTATATGTTAGAAAATTTCCATAATAAAAAGTGAAATATACAAACAAGACCAAAGACTTTCCAAAACAAAATAAAAACACTTCACATCACCCTCAGAATACCTATCAGGTTTCACATCTTTCTAACCTGATGTTCTCCCATTTGCCATTTCTTTCATTCTGCTCTGGCCAAACTTGCCTTCCTGCTTCTTTCTAACACTGCCACTCTCTTCCAACCCTGCCCTTGCTACTCTTTATTCTCTTCCTCTCTCCATTCTTCTTCATAGCACTTATCACTACCTGACTTCATATTTTTGTTTATTGGTTTTTCCCACCAAATAGAATACAAGCTCTTTGAAGGTATGGAGTTGGATAATCTGTAAGAATGCTTATCAGCAGGACTGTTCTTTTTCTGTAGGAAGATGTAATGCATTTTCTATTATTTAATTTAGAATATAAATCTATGTCTATGTTTGTGTCTTTTTTTTTAAAATTTTTTTTTTAATTTTTATTTATTTACGATAGTCACAGAGAGAGAGAGGCAGAGACACAGGCAGAGGGAGAAGCAGGCTCCATGCACCGGGAGCCCGATGTGGGATTCGATCCCGGGTCTCCAGGATCGCGCCCTGGGCCAAAGGCAGGCGCCAAACCGCTGCGCCACCCAGGGATCCCTATGTTTGTGTCTTTATCGTGGACCCTCTACTTGGCTCTATAAGCATAGGAATCTTCATAGTATCTCCCATCGCACCTCACCCTGCACACTGACTCAAGATTTGTTAATTGATTTTACAACTTTATAAAGTTCTGAAGTATTATTAAAGCATTTTAGGAATATTAAATTGTTAGAATTGCTTAAATTCATCAACTAATGTCCCATCTCAGACTATATGAATGAACTTAATTTTATACAAGTACTTTCCCCAAAGCGTGTTCTTTACAGCTGTAGCTTTACAAAATGCTTCTTTAAAGCAATGTTCTTGGGGTGCCTGGGTGGCTCAGTCTAGTAAGTGTCTGCCTTTGGCTCAGACAGGATCCCAGGATCCTGGAATCAAGTCCCGCATCTGGCTCCCTGCTCAGTGGTAAGTCTCCCTTCTCCCTTTCCCCCTGCTCGTGTTCGCGCGCTCTCTCTCTCTCTGTCAAATAAATGGGTAAAATCTTTTTTAAAAAATAAAAAATGTTCTGTGGTCAAGTTACAAGTAACTTTGAGAAATGCTACATAATAGCTTTGTCATTATGGTGACATCATATATATGTACTGAAAATGTGGAAGTTTTAGAGTAAAGAAGTTTGGTTATTTTAACCAGAATTTTCCAGACCTAACCATTAAATCTTTTCTGTTGCATATATATATATTACCATACAGCAGATAAAGTTTTCTAAAATACACTTTTAAAAATACTTTAAATAAAACAGAATATACAAAAGATATTATTAGAGGACAATTAATTCACTTTGTAAAATATCTTGCTTTACCAAAGAATATGCCATATGGTATAGAAATATCATGTTTCCGGGATCCCTGGGTGGCGCAGTGGTTTGGCGCCTGCCTTTGGCCCAGGGCACAATCCTGGAGACCTGGGATCGAATCCCACGTCAGGCTCCTGGTGCATGGAGCCTGCTTCTCCCTCTGCCTGTGTCTTTGCCCCTCTCTCTCTCTCTCTCTCTGTATGACTATCAGAAATAAATAAAAAAAAAAAAAAAGAAATATCATGTTTCCTTAATAAACTTTAAATCTGTTTGCAAAACATTCAAGGACCGAAAGTAATACATAAGAAGAGAAAAACTTTAAATATTTTTACTAACACACTTGTTTATGTTGTTAGCTCTATTTCATGTTTCACTTTAAAAAAGACATCTTTAAAAGTCTATTTTAAAATTCACTGAAACAAAATACATAACTTACTTCTTGGAAAGTAATTTAATCCCCATGAAAATAATAAGCGCTTCAACTCCAAGAGCAGCAAGTATTATTCCATCATATAATACAGCTTGTTCTCTAGTCCAGGCATACATATCCATTGTTAATGGAGTAACAATCCTAAGAAAAACAAATTATTCTTATTTTATTGAAATTAGAGTCATTATCAATGTGAAATAGAAGCTTTAATAATGATACTGACACATTAAAGAATTTGCATCCCTTAATGACACCAGCTTTACATTTAAAAAAAAAATTTAAGCACATTTTGGGGATCCCTGCGTGGCTCAGAGGTTTAGCGCCTGCCTTTGGCCCAGGGCGCGATCCTGGAGTCCTGGGATCGAGTCCCGTGTCAGGCTCCCGGCATAGAGCCTGCTTCTCCCTCTGCCTGTGTCTCTGCCTCTCTCTCTCTCTCTCTCATAAATAAATAAATAAATCTTAAAAAAAAGCACATTTTGTTGTTACTTATACAAGCTACTGTTTGGCTGTTTGTATTTTTATTTACTAATATCTATTTTAATTATAAGTAATACATCCACATTGCAAAAAAGTCTGAAGGACAGGAAAAGAAACAAACCAACCATAATTTTTACCATTCTAACTAATCATGGTTAAATTGGTTTAAATTGGTTTTAAAAGTAATAACATAATAGTAAGAGTGTTATTATAATTATTAGAAACGTGTTAGATTTTGTTTCTTCCTCAGTCTCTTTCACCCCTATTTTTGAATGTATGTATTTCTTTTCCTACTTCTGAATGGTATTCTTTTATATGTCTGTCTCCTTCCTTGCCAAGCTTCTTTCCCTACTCTATTCCCTCTATTAACTGGCTACAAAATGGAACTGAAACATACTTAAAATGTTCATTCTTAAAAAAAAAAAAAAAAAGAACATCACTATTTTTTAATTTTAAAATCAGAGAAGCTGATGTGGAAAATGGTTTGGTAGTTTCTCAAAAGTAAAACATAGAATTACCATGTCATCCAGCAAATCCACTTCTCAGTATACAACCCAAAGAACTGAAAGCAGGGACTCAACCAGATAACCTGTACACCAACATCACAGCATCATGGCATTATTCACAAGTGCCAAAAGGTGGAAACAACCCAAATATCCATTGACAGGTGAATGGATAAACGAAACTACTATATGCATACAATGGAATATTATTTAGCCATAAAAGGTATGAAATTCAGATACAGGCTATAACATGGATGAACCTTAAAAACACCATGCTAAGTGAAATAAGCAAGATACAAAAGGACAAAAGGAAAAGTGTTATATGATTCCATTTATTTGAGGTATCTAGATTGGCCAAATTCACAGAGAAAGTAGAATAAAGGCTACCCGGGACTAGGTGAGGGGGAAATGGGAAATTATTGTTTAATGGGTGGAAAGCTTCTGTTTGGAATGATGAAAAAATTCTGGAAATGGTTATACAACATTTGTGAATATACTTAATGCTGAATTGTAAATTAAAAATATAGTTAAAATGGTACATTTTATGTTATGTATATTTTACCACAATTAAAAAAAATGCTCCCAAATCAGATGAACTGAAACTTTCACCTATCTCAATAATTTTAAAAATAAAAAAATCAAGAAAATTTACATGTGCTGGCATACAAATGTTACAATTATTGACAAAGGAATAAACCAAAATTTCAAATGATAATGTCACAATCTGTTGATTTAATAGACACACATGCTAGTACTTACATTGTATAGAAAAAAAATTTTTGAAAAATTAATACTGAACTATTAGCAGTGGTTACTTCCAGGGAAAGAAGTGGATGTGGAGATACAGTTTTAGTGTTTAGAATATTTATACCAAGAAGGTACTATTTTTACAATATAATGGAAAGGCATTTAATTTCATTTTTTAAAAACTATTTATTTATTTGAGAGAGAGTGAGAGAGAGCATGAATGGGGTGAGAGGCAGATGGAGAGTGAGAAGCAGACTCTGCTGAGCAGGGAGCCAATACAGGGTTTGATCCCAGGACCCTGGGATCATGATCTGAACAGAAGGCAGATGGTTAACAGACTGAGCCACCCAGGCATCCTAGAAAGGCATTTTAAAAATAAAAAAAGTCATATGATAGCTAAAGGTCAGCAAACCTACACAAGGCAGAAATTTTGTAATATATTTTGTAATCAAAAATTTGATTTACAAAATTTGTAAATTTTGTAATCAGCACTTAGAGTTAACACTACCAGACTGACCCTCATATACATAAATAGTTAAACAGCTTAAAGTTAGTTAAATCATGGCACTGAAGTTTTATAACTATATTTATCATAAAACTCTGAGAAAGAAAGGAAAGACTAGTGAAACAGATTTCTTTATAAGGAAGTAAGATAAAGTAGTAAGATTACAGAGAATCAACTATATTCAACTTAAAAGCATAAAATTTATATATACTTTTTACATCATGACAAAAAATGTCTTAAAGTTTTGAGAACATTGATATGCTTGATTAATGTTGCATCAAAAAATGCAAGTTATTCACATAGTATGATTTAGATGAAAACAGAATAAAACTTACGTTTCAAAGAGGGCAAAGATAAATAGAATCACGAAAAACACAATATTAGTGGCTACAACAGCAACTTGATCAATATTTCCTTGGAGAACCTGAACTTCATCTGTACTTGCTATAATAAACAGGAGAAAAATTATATTACTTAAACTTTCTTACAACACTAAAACAGTATAGAAATTATATGTAGCAAATTCTATGACTAAACATTTAAAATCACTTTTAGGCTTCAAAGCAGTTTAAAAGTAATGATTTATATGACAGAAATAATTTTTTAAAATGGCATTTAAAAATAAAGTGAATTTTCTTCCCAGGAGATATACTTCAATTGTCTTATCTATAGGAAGCATTCATATTTTCTATTAGCTTTCTCTCAATCCAAAATAGGAATATATTTTATAAAATTCTATAAAATTATCTCATACTACAAATACTTATTTTAAGTTTTTATTGTGAGTGCCTGGGTGGTTTAGTCACTTAAGCATCTGACTCATGGTTTCGGCTCAGGTCATGATCTCAGGGTTGTGAGACGGAGCTCTGCAACAGGCTCTGCATTCAGGGTGGAGTCTGCTTGAGATTATCTCTCCCTTTCAATCTGCCCCTCCAGCCACTGAAGCATGCTTTCTCTCTCAATAAATAAAGAAGATCTTTAAAAAAAAAAAATTTCCATTGCAAGTTTTTTTTCTATTTTACCGGAATCTTAAATTTATGAGGATTTCAATGAAGATCTCAAATAGTTTACTAAATCAGTTAGTTCTGTGATTCATTCACTTCAGTGGCTATATATTTTGAATTTCAATGCTATGTGTAATTAGTATTAGTAAATATCTTTATGTTATTACCACATTTTCTCAAAGTCTTTATGTTATCACTTATATTTTCACAAAGAAATATATTTTGCGGGATACCTGGGTGGCTCAGCGGTTAAGTGCCTGCCTTTGGCCCAGGGTGTGATCCTGGAGTCCTGAGATGGAGTCCCACATTGGGCTCTCTGCATGGCTACGTCTCTGTCTCTCTCTCGGTGTCTCTCATGAATAAATAAATAAAATCTTTAAAATATATATATATATTGCAAATAACCACCAAGATTTGATGGTGGTTTTATAAATTGAGGGCAAAGTAAGTGTACTGACTTACCTTGAACTATGTAGTTAAGCTGCACACTCAATATTAGCTATTCCTGATATAACTGAGAAGTGTGAAGCCATATATATCTACTTACATACATTTGTCATGCTGTTTAATAACTCATTTATTCAGAGTAACTCTGGCAAATAATTCAAGAATGTGTTCATTTTATGCTAAGTGTATCTAAGTGTATGTGTAGCAGCAGCAGGGGGCAAGGGGCTACTTTCCTAAGACACAGTAAGTTTCTATAATTTTTTTCATAATAGACATTGACTCTGTATCTCAGGATTCTTGACTCTGGTCCTTCTGGGCCTTGTATTATTTTGGAGAGACCTTCCTGATTCTCCATTATCATCTAGAAGCTAATCTTTACTCCTTGAATCAAAAAGCAACACTGCTCTAACTCAAACTGGAGTTTTCTTCCTATGTGGTTAGTTTCCTATAGCCTCCACCCACTGTTGGCCTCAGTGGGAAAGCTCAGAAATGTTGCATCCTAGACTGTGAGGATTGCCTGGTCATTCAAATTTTAAGAATTTTAAGAAAACACTACATTAATATATTGATGATTCAAAGACTATCTAACTAGAAATTCTAATCTATCCAATGATAATATGTTTAATAATAGGGAAAAAACTGACACATTTATAATACTTACACTGAAATTTTAAAATGTTTTTTTTTTTTTGTTGTTTTGGAAATATTTTGAAGTACCTAGAATTCTTTTTTTTTTTTTTTAAGATTTTATTTATTTATTCATGAGAGACACAGAAAGAGAGGCAGAGACACAAACAGAGGGAGAAGCAGACTTCCTGCAGGGACCCCGATGTGGGACTTGATCCCGGGACCCCAGGATCATACCCCAGGCCGAAGGCAGGTGCTAAACTGCTGAGCACCCAGGGATCCCCATAGAATTCCTTTTTTTCCCCCATAGAATTCTTTTTTTTTAAATTATTTTATTTTATTTTATTTATTTTTTAATAGTCACAGAGAGAGAGAGAGAGGCAGAGACACAGGCAGAGGGAGAAGCAGGCTCCATGCACCGGGAGCCCGATGTGGGATTCGATCCTGGGTCTCCAGGATCGCGCCCTGGGCCAAAGGCAGGCGCCAAACTGCTGCGCCACCCAGGGATCCCCCCCCCATAGAATTCTTAATAAAGAAAATAAATTGGTCTTTCTAAACTCTCATTTGTGCTTTAGGGCAGTGCTGTGTGATAGAACTCTCACATGATGGAAATGTTGTTTCACCATGTTGCCTAAGACAGCCACTAGCCACATATCCATAATTAAACACTTGAAATGTTGCTACTGTGATTGAGGGATTTCTTAAATGTCATTTAATTTAAATTTAAATAGCCAAATATAGCTGGTGGTTACCATATTGGACAGTGTGGTTCAAGAACTCTGCTCCCCAGTATGGTTCATAGACCAGCAGCATCAGCTCCCATGATAGCTTTATTATAATGTAGATGCTCAGAATCTCACTAGGTTTGCCAGATTTAGTACATAAAAATACACGATATCCAGTTAAGTTTGAATTTGTGATAAACAACAACTTTAAGTATTTTCCGTGCAATATTTGAAATTTAAATATAGGAATGTTTGATGAAGAAAAATAATGTTTGATGAAATATTTGAGGCATATTTATACTAAAAGATTACTCATTGCTTTTCAGAAATCTAAATTTAACTGGATGGGACATATTTATATTAAAAAATTATTCAAATTCAATTGGCTGTCCTGTGTTTTATCTGGCAACCCTAGTTAGACCTCTCTCCAGGCCCACTGATTCAGAAGTGGCATTTTAACAAGGTTTCCAAGTGCTTTCTAAGCATGTTAAAAGTCCGTGAGGCACTGATTGATATTGTTATCCCCTTCCAACTTCTGAAAGATTTTGCTTTTGATGTATCTTCCTTTTCTCAGCATCTCATACTCACCCTCTTCTACTTGTTCATTCCTTTAACCTGATAGGTCTTTTAAATAGCATCCTATTTCTCACATTTTAAGCAAAACAGCTTATACTCCCTGCTGGTATTTCCTCACCATTCTTTCCTTCCTTCCTTTCCTTTCCTTTATTTTGAAATATATTCAGCCCCTATATTCAACAGTATGTTGCCACACTTGATTCATCTACCCCTTCCTTTCCATTTTTCTCTCATTCTCTTTATTGTAGTGTTTTTCACTGGCTTACTCTAAAATTTGTATCTCTAGCTTTGATCTCTGTTGCCAAAATTACAAATGACTCCAGCATTTTTTAGTTGTTCTGGTGTAGCAGTAGATTTAGCTTAGAAATCATTTTCTATGTTCAGCCAATGTCCCGTCCTAAATTCTTGTTCTCTCCCATTCTCTCATTTATCTAGACTCAAAACCCGATAGACCTCTTCAACAACTTCAACAACTCCCCCTATTCCTTAATATTCCCTATCCAAACTATCAAGAATCTTGATTTTTTTTTTCTTCAAAAACTCACATCTATCCCTTCTCTGTTCTTAAGTTGCTGTCCTAGTTCACCTTCACACATCTGGATTAGTCTCACATGGAATCTATTGTCATACTTCTTTTTTCAAAAACTAACGTTCCTCACCACTCTGCTCTCCACCTTACTACTTTTAACTTTATCTTCCACTAGTTTTATTGTGAAAATTAAAATAAAATGGCTATAAAAGTACTTGGTAAAATAACACTATGTCTTTTTCACAACTTCACAAACTCCTTAAAGGCAAGAACTGAGTTGCAATCTTTTGCACAGAGGGGGACACTCCCCAAGGAGGACATAATTAGTACTGAAATAATGGTTTATTACTAAAATATACCTACTGACCAGACTGGGTCCCTACTTCTGAACCAGAGAAAGATCTAAGGGATGAAAGTGTACCTTTGTAGAGTATGCAAAAAAAAAAATTAAAATACAAATACAAAAGACAAATCCATTCCGATGACGAAGTAAAGAAATGCTTGAGATGGGCAGCCCAGGTGGCTCAGCAGTTTAGCGCCCCCTTCAGCCCAGGGCCTGATCCTGGAGACCTGGGATCGATCCTGGAGATGTCGGGCTCCCTGCAGAGAGCCTGCTTCTCCCTCTGCCTGTGTCTCTGCCTCTCTCTCTCCCTGTGTCTCTCATGAATAAATAAATAAAATCTTAAAAAAAAAAAAAGAAAGAAATGCTTGAGATAGAAAGATACATTTGGTAGGAAAGTTACTGAAATAATTCCAAAGAACTGGAGGATTTTAGGATATTGGCTCTTTACAAACAAGATGAAGTGATTTTTAGCCATGGTTTTAACCTTACCAATCATGAACACCAAATAACTGATCTGGGCATGCTTTTTTAAAAAAAATAATCAATTTAAGTAACTTTCTACTTTGAAGATCCTCCCCAGTCACCCACTGTACTATCCCCAGAAGCAAAATCCAAGTAAATATCAAACAGAATCATCAGATACACTTTGATAATGTTACAGTAATTAGTCAAACAGGTTAATAGTACCTTCTTCAAAATTAACATTTTTACACTGTCGTCCTGAGTCATCCACATGATGTTCTCTTAAAAAGAAAAACATAAGTATTATATCCAATAAAAACTTAGTATAATAAATGATTATAATTTATTAGTAGCCTTCTATTTTTGCACATTCTGATACAGTTCCTTTTACTGACTTCTGAGTAATGAAAATTATTACCAATGAAATATAACCAACAAAATTTAAAAGATACAAGTTACAATTCTTACTATATTATCATATAAATGAAAAATAATATTCATTCAAAAGCATACATGATCTACTTTAATAAATATTGAAGTTTTCCAGTGATTTTAAACATTTTTTATAAATGTTTTTGGGTCCTTGGATAAAGTAGTTCAAAGAAATATAAAGTAATAAAACATCTGTAGTTTTATAAAAATCTCTTCTAATATATAAAAGATATACTATAAGTAACTTTTGTATTTAAGGTTGATACCAATCCTTAATCTACTTAAATGCTGCTTTCATGCTATTCCCTACTTAGAAATCTATAGTTAATATATCAAGTAGTATTATATCAGGTAACTATATCAAGCAGTTATGAGTACTATATTAATTAGCTGATTGAAAAAACATGAACACAACTATGGACATCAAAAGCCAAATAAAGGCTTTATAGGGATAATTATCTTCCATTAATGATAATGCTTATTTAATTTCACAATCTAAAAAGGTAGTTTATCACTTATACCTAAATTACCTTAATAGAATAAGGATCAGAATAATATTTAAAACTCCCAGGAATGCGCCAAGTAAAACTGGTGCTGTATACATGTTTATCTGTAGTTTAATGGTATCCCATGTCACGCCCTTTTCTCCAATGAGTGCAAAACAAGTCTGAAAAACTTAATAAAATAAAATGTATACAGATGAGTAAGTAGGAAGCAGAAGCTAAAAAAACTCTGAAAGACATTTACCATGAGATTGGAAGCAACATTATGGGATCATTTATCTATATCATGCATCTCAATAGAGGCAAGAAAGTTCAGGGAAGGGAACAAAATATTACTTTTTCTGTATAAAGCATAGACATTCATAACAGTACATAAAAGATATACAATTGACCTGTGGTACTAGGGAAAAAAAATGCCTAAAATGGCTCCATAGAGGGACAACAATGAGAAAAAGGTTGGGAAATACTGATGTACATGCATTCACAAAGTATTTTTTTTTTAAATTTTATTTATTTATTCATGAGAATGCACAGAGAGGAGAGAGAGAGAGGCAGAGACGCAGGCAGAGGGAGAAGCAGGCTCCATGTACCGGGAGCCCGACGTGGGACTCGATCCCGGGTCTCCAGGATCGCGCCAGGCCAAAGGCAGGCGCCAAACCGCTGGGCCACCCAGGGATCCCATTCACAAAGTATTATATCTAAAGTAACTTGTCAGTATCTTCCTTTTTAAAAAATATCTCCACAGGAAATCTAAATTATCCAATTTCTTTCATAAATAAATCACAACTTCATTTTAAGAAATAGAATGTCATGTTTTAAGTCAATATTTCTAATTGTCACTGTGCATATAGTATTTAAATTCTATATATTTTTAAAATTTTGGCTCTACGGCAAAACTCAGATTGGAAGAGTACTAGTTTGCTTTCCTTTTTTTTTTTTTTAAATATATATTTTTTAAATTTTATTTATTTTTTCATGATAGTCACACACACACACAGAGAGAGGCAGAGACATAGGCAGAGGGAGAAGCAGGCTCCATATAGGGAGCCTGACGTGGGATTTGATCCCGGGTCTCCAGGATCGCGCCCTGGGCCAAAGGCAGGTGCTAAACCGCTGCGCCACCCAGGGATCCCGCGCCACTCAGGGATCCCACTAGTTTGCTTTCCTGATTTAGATTCTACAACTGGCTGTTCTCATAATTTACATGTAACCTTAAGGTAAGAATGAAGTAATATACTATACATAAAACACTTAGGATAGTATCTAGCACATAGTAAGCATTCAACAAATGCTAGTGCTGTTAATATGGTTATTACAGGAAAGGTCATCTAATCCTATTCAGGCCTACATTTACTCATCTATATATAATATAAAATATTTAAATAAGATAACCTTTAAAATAATTTTTTCGTCTCTTTTCCTTTTTTGATTATTTCCTGTATTCTTAGGTTGAAAATGTGACAAATCAATGAACAAGGTGATATAAATTTTAGTGGTCTTTTTTTTTTTTCTAATGTCCTGTCTACCTTTATACTAGCTGATACTGTCTCAAAACGTCAGTTTTCTTGGCTCTAAAATGCTATATGAGGGGATTCCTTTGTGGCTCAGCGGTTAAGCCCCTGCCTTTGGCCCAGGGCATGATCTTGGAGTCCCCGGATTGAGTTCCAGGATCAAGTCCCGCATCAGGCTCCCTGCGTGGAGCCTGCTTCTCCCTCTGCCTGTGTCTCGGCCCCTTTTTCCTCTCTTTGTGTCTCTCATTAATAAATCAATAAAATCTTAAAAAAAATAAAAATAAAAATAAAAAAAGTAAAATAAAATGCTATATGAGATTTATTACATGCTTTTACCTCATGTACTTTATCATTATTTAATCTTTAAAATACTTATGTGGTCAAAATATTTACTGAGAACCTAAGTCTATACCAAGTACTGTGCTAGATACTGAGGGTAGAGGGATAAATGAAAAAGACCCAGACTATGCATATATATATATATATATATATATATATATATATATATATGACTATTTATTCATGAGAGAGAGGCAGAGACACAGGCAGAGGGAGAAGCAGGCTCCATGCAGGGAGCCCAATGCAGGACCTCATCCCAGGATCATGCCTTGGACTGAAGGAGGCACTAAACTGCTGAGCCACCCGGGCTGCCCTGTCCTCATGTATTGTATAATATAGTCATAGATACAATTATTCTACATTTGTTGCTTATATTTTACTCCAGAATACTAAACTGAAACTTTAGATTTTGATGAAGGATAAATTAGACTCTCTTTTATAGAGCTTTTTCTTGGCTACCTAAAAGAAAGTAATGGAAACAGGGTGTAAGGGTGGGATATTAATAATGAAGTAAACTGAGCTGGATTCAAAGTGATGATATTTGAAACCGCAATATTCATAGCATCAGCCAATTACATGGTTTTTCAATGTTTTTCTAAGCATAAAAATTACTAATCTATGAATCTGCAGAAATCTACTTGTCTTGGGGAAGTATTAAATCTCATTAATATTGTTTTACACTCATAGTTCAAATGAAGATTTGGAAGAACAGGCTTTATTTTTTTATTTTTTATTATTTTTTAAAGATTTTATTTATTTATTCCTGAAAGACACAGAGAGAGAGGCAGAGACACAGGCAGAGGGAGAAGCAGGCTCATGCAGGGAGCCCAACACGGGACCCAACCCTGGGACTCCAGGATCAAGACCTGGGCTGAAGGCAGGCGCCAAACTGCTGAGCCACCCAGGGATCCCTGAAGAATAGTCTTTAAATAGCCTTTTAAAAATCCTTCATTTTGGGGGCACCTGGGTGGTTCAGTCAGTTAAGCATCTGCCTTTGGCTCAGATCATGATCCTAGGGTCCTGGGATGGAGCCTTGAGTCAGGCTCTGTGCTCAGTGGGGAGTCTGGTTCTCCCTCTCCCTCTGCCTCTTCTCTCACTTATGCTCCCCCTTTCTCAAATAAATAAGTAAATAAATCTTTAAAAATTCTTTCATTTTCTTCAACCTTAGAAAAGTCTGAAAGGTATGGGCAAAGAGCAAAAGAGTAAAGAACCTCCTATAAGTTTCCTCAAATCCTTCAGTCAAAAGAATTTTGTTTCTAATAAATGGGGAAAAAAGCAAAGTATTATGGAGATGTCTAGCTAAATGATTATTTCACAGAACATAGGGGTCAGACAGTTATTAGGTTTGAACCTCATATTTCCCATTTGCTATCTGGCTGACCTTAAATAATTTACTTAGATTCTCTATGCCTTAGTGTCTTAATCTGTAAAATGAAACATATCATTTACTTTAGAGGACATTTGTTAACACATATAAAGAGCCTAGCCTCCTGTTGGATCAAAAAATACCAGTTTCTTTTCAGCTATGAGGTTTTATACTTAGATTCCAGTTAACATTTGAACCTCAAAAGTTTTCCCATGTAATTCCCAAGTAATGACATGTGAAAAATACCTACCTGGACCTAGAATAAAACCTAATGCTTGACATGCACTAGTATTTGCCATTGAACTTGTTCTTTCCTGAAGGGAAGTAGCACCAGCAATATATGATCGAATCACTGCTACATTTCCTAAAAAAAGATACAATAATTCCAAGTAAAAGAAATTATCCTTCATATAAAATTCAATTTAATTTGGCTTTATACAGAAAAAATATCACTACTTCATTTTTATGATCATACAAAGCATGTACACTGAGCAAATGTATCAATTAATGGAAAATATTGCTTTTAGTAACATGAAAACACAATTAAAGATCTGAATGAATGAAAATATGGCATTATAGAAATGTTACTTTTTTTCTTCGTTAAATATGGAGAAAGCACTGAGTGAACAGCATAATACTAATTGCCACAATTGCTTTTAAAACAAGGATGTTACAAACTCTGCGTGATTAGGACCGAAAATATAAGAAACAGAAAAAGAAATCCACTATCAATTTGATTTTAAAAAAATGTATTGAGTTCTTACTATGTTCAGGAAACTCTGCAGGGGATTACAGAATATTTTAGGAAGTCATAAATTATCTCTATAAAAAGTTTACTGTATGGCTGGTAATAAAGGATGAAAACAGTACAAAACAGTATATAAGCGGGTGTCACACACATGCTAGAAAAAGGAAGGGTCTGTGTTAGCTAAGAAAGCTTTATGGAAGATGTAGAATTTGAGCTGAATCTTGAAGGATAAAGAATGATGGGAACAGAATAAAGAAACTATAGGTAATGGAAACATCATGAGCAAGCAAAGCCAAAATAATATATGTAAAGATATGAGATTGAGAAGTGGTGACATCAGGTGAGAGAGGGCCATAAATGTCAGGGTGAATGTGAATTGGACACAGCTAAACATATACATACATACATACATACATATTACCTGCTCCAAATCCCACCAATCCGCGAGCAACCAACATGTAGTATTTGTTATGAGAGGCTGGAACGTGGACATAGGCGTAGAGGCAGTTAGCGGCGACCGAAATGGAGAGAGAGATGATAAGAGGTTCTTTTCTTGGTCTATAATTAGACCACAAACCAAATACAGGTGAAGCTACCATTTGGCCAAGACTAAATGAAGCAATAATCCAGCCCAAAAAACTTGCATCAGCTGTCTGATCAATCTGCAGAAAAAAAGTATAATAATGCTTTAAGAATTGTTATCCAAGAAAAGTAAAGTTTAAAACTTATATTTTTCAGACCATGTAACATTTCTTTTTAAAGAAATAATAAACAGGGTAGCCCTGGTGGCGCAGCGGTTTAGTGCCGCCTGCAGCCCGGGGCGTGATCCTGGAGACGCTGGATCGAGTCCCACATCAGGCTCTCTGCAAGGAGCCTGCTTCTCCCTCTGCCTGCATCTCTGCCTCTCTCTCTCTGTCTCTATGAGTCAATAAATAAAATCTTAAAAAAAAAAAAAGAAATAAAAAATAATAATTCTAACATAAAAGTTTTATAACACTATTACGTATAGTAAGAGATTCAAACTTCTAACATTACAATTAAATGTGTTACCAATTCACTACGCAGTAGGAAAAATCCTTGGGAAACTTCATTTTTTAGAATGATTATGGGAATTTCTGGTTCATAAAAAATCTTGTTAAAAAATAAATCACAAAAAAAACCCCAAATCACGTTATATATATAAAACAAGAGCATCATAAAAATAGCATGCCACTAATTCTTATAATGTAAATACAATTATTTAGACTTATACTACTCCATAAGCTAAATATCCATTAGCACTGTAAATGTATTTTTATTTTTTAATTAGGCACAGTAGTCAAATGCTTACAGAGAACAAAAACACAAAAGCTGAAAGGCAATTCTCTCATTAAACCTATTACTGGGATCCCTGGGTGGCTCAGCGGTTTAGCGCCTGCCTTTTGCCGAGGGCATGATCCTGGAGTCCCAGGATCGAGTCCCAGGATCAAGTCCCAGGATGGAGTCCCATGTCGGGCTCCCTGCATGGAGTCTGCTTCTCCCTCTGCCTGTGTCTCTGCCTCTCTCTCTGTGTGTCTCTCATGAATAAGTAAAATCTTAAAAAAAAAAAAAAAAAAAAAAAAAAAACCTATTACTAATTCTTCCATTCAACATAGACACTGAAAGAGGGTTTATATATCATGATGAATGTTGAGGAAAAAACCAAATGATTAAATTCAGAAAATGAAATACTTTCAGAAAACAAAATTTTAGCTTACAAAAGAGACTATGGAATAAATTGACAGATTAAAAAATATATATATGGTATTCCTATACAGGAATTTGGAAAAATAAGAACCATTAAATTTAGGAAGTGAGATTAAACATATATAAGTTAAATGGTAGAACAACTTAAAGAAAACCACAGCCTTATCTTTTCTAAAGATATTTTTAAGTAGTTTAAAATGGAAATATTTAGGTACATTTTCTTGCAGGGGATGAGAAATAAGAGTAATTATGTATAATGATACACAATATTAAAGTTCTAGCCTTAAAAATATCTCTTATTTTAGGCACTCTGGTTTTTATTTTCTACCCATATTACCTTTTAGTTCCTTTGATCTATTAAAATATAAAATAACTTCATGTCATAAAAATTTAATTAATTTTCAAAAAAGCAGTAAAAATTTAATTTAAGATAAATGTGTAGTGGTTTGAAAGCAAAAGGATGAAAGTGTCTTTTCAGGTATCAAGTCAAGTATCCGTCTCATGGACAGAAGCTGACTCTCAGGGATGGCTTACAATATTAACAATATTTTCCAGAGACCAATAGAAACTTTTAATTGGCTTCTATTCTTTACAGTGACTGGAAAACTGGAACCTTCTAGAATTCTGCTAGAATTGCAACAGGAAAGTAAAATGTTTTAAGAGATACAGGTTCTACACTGTAACAGAAGGTATCACTTCAGCAGTTGAACTGTTATCTGTGCTCATGTGTGTTTCTCTCTCTTAAAGTAGTAACAGTATCTTATTTCTGGTCCTCTGGCCACCTCTGGTTATCTCTACCATACTGTCTTCAGAATAAAATCCAAACTGCTTATTATGAAAAATTAGCTTATAAATTGGCCACTGTCTCTCCTCGCTCAACTTCTCTCTCTGCTTGTACCCTTCCCCCAATTCTAACTTCCAGCCACACAGAACTGCTTGAAGTTTCCAAAATGAGTCAAATTCTCTGCCTCCAAGCCTTTGTGCTGGTTTCTCTACTGCCCCCTTCCACCAGCAATGTCTTCCCAACCTCCAATTCCCTGGCTTCCACCTTTTCTTTAGGAAACCAACTTCTGTACACCTTCAAAACTCAGCTCTCGTGTAACTGATTTTGGGAAGTCTTCCAGAATTTTTCTTTCTTTTTTTTTTTTTTTAATTAGAAACATCCCCCTAACAGCCCATGTCTGTCTGCCTGCCTGCCTCTCTCTCTCTGAAACCATTTCTCTCTCTCTCACACACATATGCAACCAAACTTTTTAAAAAATATTTTATTCATTCATTCATTCATTCATTCATTCATTCATAACAGGAGGAAGGAAAATCTCAAGCAGACTCTGCTTTGAGCAGAGTCCCACACAGGGCTTTATTGCACAATCCTGAGATCATGACCTGAGCTGAAATCAAGAGCTGTTTGCTTAACTAGCTGAGCCACCCCAGGCGCCCCACACCCATACTTTTAGACCTTTATGGATGTATATTATTTGGTAATCATCTGTAATTAACTTGTTTGGTTTTGTACACTTCAGTGAAAGTTGGATCTGTATCTTCTCTGAAAAAAAAAAAAAGAAAAAAAAGAAACCAAAACCCTTCCTAAACTCCAAAGTACATGGTATTGAATTTCAAAACATTATTCTCTAAACATGTTAAAATATCGACAAAGTCAAAGTTCTAGAAATCTTCATGCTTTGCTTTGGGAATTAAGACATGAAAATGGGTGTTCCAAGCCTCTTTAATAATCTACTTATAGATTATTGCTTATTAACTAACAGTCGTTGAATCCTTCCCTGTGACAAAAACTGTGCTAGGCAATATGGATACAAAGATGAGTTAATACAGAGTTTCCAAACTGAGTTTCATCACCAAGGAGTTTCCAAACCATGTTTTACTTACCTGGCATTTGAGTAGCTGGGGGGGGGGGGATCACAATCTTTAATTTCTTATCTATCAAATGAAGATAACTTCAGAGAGTTGTTATAAGAATTATTTGAGCCAGGGATGCCTGGGTTGCTCAGTGGTTGAGCGTCTGCCTTCGGCTCAGGGAGTGATCCCAATCTGGGAATCGAGTCCCACATCAGACTCCCTGCGAGGAGCCTGCTTCTCCCTCTGCCTATGTCTCTGCCTCTCTCTGTGTCTCTCATGAATAAATAAATAAGATCTTTTTTTTTTTTTTTAATTTTTTTTTTTTATTTATTTACGATAGTCATACAGAGAGAGAGAGAGGCAGAGACACAGGCAGAGGGAGAAGCAGGCTCCATGCACCAGGAGCCTGACGTGGGATTCGATCCCGGGTCTCCAGGATCGCGCCCTGGGCCAAAGGCAGGCGCCAAACCGCTGCGCCACCCAGGGATCCCAATAAATAAGATCTTAAAAAAAAATTATTTGAGCCAATACATGTGTAGTGCTTAGGGCAATGTCAGCATATATATGCACTTAATGAATGTTACCTATACAGTATAAAAATAATATTTCTTAGTACTTTGTTTTTACTAATATGTCAGTTTTATTAAGATAGTAGGTAACACAGCACTGTGGTTAAGAATCAGATTTTGGTTTCAGATAGGTTTGGCTCTGTCATTTTCTAGCTGTGTGACCTTGGGCAAGCTACCTAACTTTCTTCATCTGCCCAACAGGAGGATTAATAATCATTTCACAACATTGTTATGAATATCAAGAGGTGAAAGTCTTAGTACTTTACCTGGCACACACTGAGCTTTCACTATTGTTATGAAATAACTTGAGAAAATTAGTTGGTAAGTTCTTTAATGAAACTCTTATTTGTATTGCTGGAGAACTAGTTACAAGTTCATGTACTTACTAAATTTACCTTTGAAGAAATTTCAAATTTCTGGAGAAAGGAGTGTACCTTTTCAAAATTCAACATATTGTGCTGAGTAGACTGAATTACTGTAAATATCTTCCCTTTGATAATTTTGAGGTTAAACAGATTGAATACAGGGACCATGGAAATAAAGAGTTTTGATATATGGAAATATACTTTTGGCAAAGAAGATATTGCTCTAGAATTGTTAAATATCTTGCTTTAATTCTAGTAACTCTGCCAGTAAGAAAAGAATTTTTAGCATCATGGGTAATAATTTCATGTAATATAATTTTTTGATTTTCAAATAAATTTCAAAATAGCACTGAAAATGTGGCACCAAATCAGTAAAAATGAAATTTGTATTTCTGTCCTTATATTTATTTTAAAATATCTGTCATTTTAAAAGTCAGCATTTTCAAAAAGTTAAACATTCATAGAAACTAAAAAAAATCTAAAATGAAATATGAAATGTCAATAAGCTTCTTGAATCACAGGCATTATTTTAAATCTCTAAGTATTCATCAAATATGTCTAGTATTTTTATTGAAGCCACCTAACCATTCTAACAATCTGGTAGGGAAGTTAACTCTCTATAAACAGACTTTTATAACATTCAATGATAAATGATAATGATAAAGGGGGTATTGAAGCGAATAGGAAAACCTAACTCAAACTGGGTTGGGGAACAATCAGGGAAGGCTTTTCAGAAGAGGTGACACTGGAACAAAGCCTTGAAGAATGAATAAAAGATAATCGGGAAGTAGGGTGGAAAGGAAGGACAGAGGAAAGGAGAGATGAAGGGAGGGAAAGCATTCCAGAAAAAAAAGAAAATGTATAAAGACTCTAGGAAGCTAGGATCATTCAAGTAGGTATGTCTAACAAATTGTTAGATATTGATATAACGTGGGCCAAAGCTTAGGATTTAGGCTACAACACACATACATACACAGCCCAACCTCTGGGGAAAACCAACATATAAGGAACAGGTTGATAAAGAAGACTTACAAAAGAATTTAAGAACAAATATGTAAGGGGAAAGTCAGGATAGAGAAATGTATGGAAGCTAAGAGAGGGTTTTCAGAAGCAGGGAGAGGACAAAAATGTCAAATGCTACCCAAATGTCACCTAAAGGAGTGAAAAGTATCTATTTGATCAGCAATTAAATCATTGAAGACCTTGATGAGGGCAGTTTCAAGGTAGCAGAGGAGTTAATCAGATCCTACCAGTTTAAGGAGTGAATAAGAGGTTGGAGAGTACAGAGGAACTCCATCAAGACCCTTAACTGAAATAGTTATAGATGAATTATGTCTGCAACTTATTTACTGATTTTCAGCAAGTTTCTTACTGGAGATTTAAGATAGAATTGACAGGGGATCCCTGGGTGGCGCAGCGGTTTGGCGCCTGCCTTTGACCCAGGGCGCGATCCTGGAGACCCGGGATCGAATCCCACATCGGGCTCCGGGTGCATGGAGCCTGCTTCTCCCTCTGTCTGTGTCTCTGCCTCTCTCTCTCTCTCTCTGTGTGTGACTATCATAAATAAATAGAATGTAAAAAAAAATACTATAAGATAGAATTGACAGATAATTACATCATGCTATACATCAAATATATTTTTTTAAAAAAAGATAGAACTGGCAGGACTTGATGATTAACTGATGTCAGGGTACTTGCTAAACTTGCTTCTTTTTGTCACTCCCTCCTTCCCATCTAGTAACCACAGCATCAAAATACATATATTATCTATTCTTTTTACAATGTCACCTAACAGGGCAGCCGGGTGGCTCAGTGGTTTAATGCTACCTTCAGCCCAGGGCATGATCCTGGGGACCCAGGATCGAGTCCCATGTCGGGCTCCCTGCATGGAGCCTGTTTCTCCCCCTGCTTGTGTCTCTGCCTCTCATTCTCTCTGTATCTCTCATGAATAAATAAAATCTTAAAAAAAAAAAAAAACCAATATCACCTGACAACTCAAATTAATTCTATAGGAAAGCACAAAATTATTCCATAGAACTGTACATTTTGGGAATTCAGACTGTGTATAATTTCTTTTTTATCAAGGAGTGGGTACTGATGGGATGTGCAAGTGGCAAATAGGTAGGTGACCACACATCTACATTTGCCTGGGACTGTCCAGGTATAATCCTGTTTTCCTGAGAAGTACTCCCTCCACTTCAAGAGTGTTCTAGTTTGCACAGTAAAACATTAGATCACCTTACCTAAGCCTCTTCTGGGGAATTATTATCTCAAGTTACTCTAGTAAGGATTAAATCAATAAAATACCAAAGAGACTCTTAAGAAAACTCTTAACTACATAAGAGTTACTGTCATCGTAGCTACTTAATAGAATAACAGATTGAAATGTACTAACCTTTTGGAGATATGGCCATATTGACATTATCACAATAGAAAATCCTGTAAAGAGGCAAAATCTGTTATTTATACTTAAAAATAATTTCATCATTATTTATAGAACAATTTTTAAATTGTTAGAATGGGGGGAATCTCTGGGTGGCTCAGCAGTTTAGCATCTGGCTTCAGCCCAGGGTATGATCCTGAGGTCCCGGGATTGAGTCCCACATCAGGCTCCCTGCATGGAGCCTGCTTCTCCCTCTGCCTGTGTCTCTGCCTCTCACTCTCTCTCTCTCTCTGTGTCTCTCATGAATAAATAAATAACATCTTTAAAAAAAAATTGTAACATGGACTTTAAAATATCATTCTGAATTTACAAATTTATGCCCCACAATGTTTAATTTACCAAGTAATGCAGTTTCATTTATCAGAAGGAAGATAAACAAACATTAAAGACTTGAAAACAAGATATAATTATAGAACCTGGCCATAATTAAGATAATAAAAGCAGAGGACCTATTTCTTCTTACTCACATGTCTTTACTGTAAATAGAAAGTTTTGTTAAGTTTTTATAGCAGAAAAGAATGAAGGAAAGTCTATTCTGTTATACAGGAAGTGGTAGACTTCTAATCCATGTTATTTGGCAGAGATAATTTTTTAAAAGATTTTTTAAAAATTTATTCATGAGAGACACAGAGAGAGAAGCAGAGACATAGGCAGAGAGAGAAGTAGGCTCCCCATAGGGAGCCCCATGTGGGACTGGATCTGGGGACCCCAGGATCATGCTCTGAGCCAAAAGCACTCAACCCCTGAGCCACCCAGGCAGCCCTCTTTGGCAGAGATAATTGTAGGGAAGACAACCAGAAAGGAATATGAACATCTAAACGGGACAGTAGCTGTAAACAACTGAGAGACTTTAATACGGCTATACCTTAAAAGAAAATTCATTATCTCTACTATTCTTTATTGCTTAAAAGCTGTAATGATAAATTATAATCCTATTTGTCAATTTTAAATGTTAGGCATGTCCAATCAAAATTTTATAAAGGCTATTTTTAATTTTTTTTATTTTTTAAAAAAGATTTTATTTATTTATTCATGAGAGACACACAGAGAGAGGCAAAGACATAGGCAGAGGGAGAAGCAGGCTCCATGCAGGGAGCGTGATGTGGGACTCGATCCTGGGACTCTGGGATCATGCCCTGAGCGGAATATGCACCTGCTCAACCTTGAGTCACCCAGGTGTCCCAAGGCTATTTTTTAAAAAACACTTTTATTAAGATATACTTCACATACCATATATCCAATTTAAAGTATACAATGAGTTGTTTTTAGTATAATCACAGATATGTGCAACCATCACCACAGTCAATTTTAGAACATTCTAGTCACATCACAAAGAAACTCTGGACCCTTTACTCTGCTGTTTTCCATCCTATCAGCCACCAGCCCTAAGCAACTACTAATCTACTTGTCTCTATTGATTTTCCTACTCTAGACTTTCCTATGAACAGAATCATGCAGCATGTGGTCTTTTGTGTCTGGCTTCTATCTTAGCATAATGTTTTCAAGTTTCATCCATGTTGTACCAGTATCAATACTTCATTCTTTTTAGAAAGCCTATTTTAAAAAATAATTTAGTTATTAGTTTCATTTTAATGTATTTTGAATTGACATTGTTTTGATGAAAAGAGGACTGAAAGAGTAAACTAATATTTGAAATCAAGGCTACAATTTCACAATCAAAAACTTATAAACAGGGGACGCCTGGATGGCTCAGTGGTTGAGCATCTGCCTTCGGTTCAGGGTGTGATCCTAGAGTCCTGGGATTGACTCCCACATCCGGCTCCTTGCATGGAGCCTGCTTCTCCTCCCTCTGCCTATGTCTCTGCCCCTCCCTCTGTGTCTCTCATGAATAAAATCTTAAACACACACACACACACACACAAAACAAGAAACTTATAAACAGGTAAAATGTTTAACATGCTAATTAAAACCTAAAGTTAAAAAATTTCTTTTGTTGTTAAAATTAAATTTTAGATAATTGAGTACTAAAAATTAGAAGTATTTAATTTTACTTTATTTTAATTTCAGTATAGTCAACATGCAGTGTTATATTAGTTTCAAGTGTACAATAAGTGATTCAACACTTCCATATATTACCCAGTGCTCAACATGACAAGTGCACTCTTTAATCCCATTCCTCTATTTCACCCATCCCCCCCTCTTCCTCCTCCCCTCTGATTGGCCATCAGTTTGTTCTCTATAGTTAGTTAAGTCTGTTTCTTGGGGAACCTGGGTGGCCAGTCATGTTAAGTGTCTGCTTTTGGCTCAGGTCATGATCCAAGGGTTCTGGGATAGAGTCCTGCATCAGGCTCCCAACTCAAAGGGAAGCCTGCTTCTTCTACTCCCTCTACCTGCTGCTCGCCCTGCTTGTGCACTGGAGAACGCTACACATTCACGCTCTTTCTCTGTCAAATAAATAAATAAAACCGTATAAATAAAAAAGTCTTTCTTGGTTTGTCTCTCTTTTTTTCCCTTTGCTTTTTGTTTTGTATCTTAAATTCCACATAGGAATGAAATTATGTTGTCTTTCTCTGCCTGATTTATTTCGCTTAACATTATACTCTCTACCTCCACTCATGTAGCATGTAGTTACAAATGACAAGATTTCATTCTGTTGATCTGTTTTCCATTGCTTTCATTTGCAGGGCAAGCTACAAAACTTAAGAAAGTAGAAGAAAAGATTTTCTTCCCCACCAAGGGGGAAGGCCTTAAATAAGGCCTTAAGAAATTCTGACTCGTCCTATAACATGGATGAACCTTGAGAATAGGATAAATAAAATAAGCAAGTTACAAAAAGAAAAAATACTGTATGATTCCATTTATATGAAGTAGATACAGAAAGAATGGTGGTTGCCAGGACATGGGAGAAAGGGCGAATGAGGAGTTGTTTAATGGTACAGAGTTTTAGTTTGCAAGATGAAAAACTCTGGAGATAGGTTATATAATCATGTAGACAAATGTAACACTTCTGATCTTAAAAATGGTTAGGATGGAAAATTTTATGTGATTTTACCAAAATAAAAAGTAATTTAAAAATTAAGTGACACTAAAATAAGATACTTTATTTGAATTTTTAAGATTATATATAATTTCTAATACTTACCTACACTGCTAAGAAACATAGTAAGATATAGAATCCTAATAGATCTCCATCGGCTCTTATAATGCTCTTCAGTTTCTAAAATATCCCATTCTCTAGGATTAAAGAAGAAAAAGTAGTATAATGTTATCTCATTATGTGCCAATCTTTCTATGGCACAATTTTATTTTCTTTCTCCTAAAGTAATAAAGAAGATACGACAGAGGTATAATTTACTAATATTGGTTTTTACTATACTAATTATCTATGAATAAGCAATTTTTCTTTCAATTTCCATGGATTATATTAACATATCATTCATTACACATAGAAACTTAGGAGACATGACGTAGTTTAAAAGGGTGTAACATTTTGTCAACCAATTACTTGGCTATCATTGACCTGCTACAAATTGAGTGTTGAAATTTGTTAAACTGACAAAATAAATAAAGTGTATCAAAATAAATCAAACTAGCTACAACAATTAGATCTCCTGTGGATGGGATATACAGCTATTACATATTAAAAAATAATTATGTCATTAGTAAGACAGGTTCTATATGACGACAGTAAATTGACTTTGCTGCAGGATGCTATTTTGGCTGGGTACTTTAAGCAAAATTAATGTAGAAGTGACACCAGAAAAGTCTGTTGTGACCTAAGACATTCTGAGCCCTAAGACATTCTTGCCTTTGCTCCAACACGGGTTACCAGATAAGCTCTATCCTCCTTCAGTTAGGTAATACATGAGGGTGTGTATGGATTCATTGCATTTTCACATTCACATACAGAAAGAGTTAATAAATTTACCTTACTATGAGCCTTATATTTTCAAATAATATAAGCACAACAGACAGAATGTCTTCTTATGTTCCAAAGCTATTTTCTAAAATAGACCTTACGGTTGTCAAATTAGTCTTCAAAAAAGAAACTTTTTTTTTTCAAAAGTGATGTGATTGGATGTGGTAGAGTGCGAAGGAAGAAGATAACATTAATTAGATCTACTATGTGCCAGGTATATTAGTTGCTAATATAATAAAGTTTCTAATATTATATATTCCATTCCATGAAAATAGACTTTTCACCATAATATAGCACACTTGAAAAACAGAAGAACCCCAGATGTGCCTGGGTAGCTCAGTAGGTTAGGCAACCAACTCTTGGTTTCAGCTCAGGTCATGACATCAGGGTTGTGAAGTTGAGCCCCAAGTGGGACTCCTCACTGGGCTCTGCACTGGGCATGGAACCTACCTCAGATTCTCTTTCCCTTTACCTCTGCCCCTCCAGCCCTCTCCCCCTCTAATAACCAGAACCCCAAATACCCATGCTGAACTTCCTTAATTTACAATGGGGTTACCACCCAATAAACCCATTATAAATTGGAAATACATTAAGTTGGAAAAGCATTTCTTTTTTTTCTTTTTTTTTGGAAAAGCATTTAATGTACCTAACCTACTGAACATCATACCTTAAATTAGCCTGCCTTAAACATGCTCTGAACACTGACATTAGCCCAGTTAGGAAAAATCATCTAAAACAAAGCCTATTTTATAACAAAGTATTGAATATCTCATGTAATTTATAAAATACTGTACTAAAAGTGAGAAACACAATGGTTGTATGGGTATAGAATGGCTGTAAGTATATAAATTGGTTATATTGGTGATCAAGTGACTGGGAGCAGCAGCTCGCTGTCTAGCACAAGAGAGTAGCCTACCACACATCACTAGGCCAGGAAGAGATCAAAATTCAAAATCTGAAGTATGGTTCTTTGGCACCATTGTATAGTTGAAAAATCATAAGTTAAGCCATCATTAGTCAGGGACCATCTATTTGGAAATCAATATATTGGAATCTGGAACATAAGATAGATAATTACGTATCAGCAAAAGGTACCCATTATTCAATCCTGCAGCACTGGATTCTGGTATCACTTTCCAGCATTGGGTATTATATTTTTAATGAAACCATTATTATTTTCTGGATATCAGAAATTAAACTGACCATCACTAATAAAAACAATCATTAAAATAAGCCTGAAAATTTCAAGTAACTATTTTGCTCATATCTTATCTAGGTTAGGGAATCAAGAGAAGTAAATAATTTGGTTCTGAAAAAAAAATAACAAAAATGTTTAATTTCAACTTGATTTGGAGCTCAGTCAAAAATCTTTCTTCTTTCAATGATAGCTATTAAATATTGAAAGGATGACAGAATTAGAAAAATGCTATTTAATCACTACTCTCCATGTAATAAATAATATATGAAAGAAAGGATAACTGATGGATCCTAAAACAACTGGTTGAAAAGTTGTTGAGGACAGGATAGTCACAGGGTCTTAAAGTATCACCCCACTGTCTACTTAGTAACCACAAAATAGAAAATAAGGCTTTGTAATTGAGAGATACAGCAGTCACCCTCTTAACCAAGTGGTCAAGCCTAGCATCCTCAATAGTGGGATGGCTGGATATTTGATGCCTCCTAATGTTAATATATTGGGATATTCTCAACATAACCCATGGGATGTTCTTGCCAGAAATATCTGATCTATTAAAAAAGAAACATGCTGGGCAGCCCCAGTGGCTCAGCAGTTTAGTGTCACCTTTGGCCCGAGGTGTGATCCTGGAGACCTGGGATCGAGTCTCACTTTGGGCTCCCTGCATGGAGCCTGCTTCTCCCTCTGCCTGTGTCTGCACCCCCCCCTTGTCATGAATAAATAAATAAAATCTTAAGAAAAAAAAGAAACATGCCAAAAATCCAGAATGTGAGATGTTCTACAGAAACTGACTTAGAAAAAAAAAGAAAGAAAGAAAGAAACACAAACTGACCTAGAATTATCAAAGGATTCAATGTTGGAAACAACAGAGATAAAAAATCAGGGGACAGTTATAGATTGAGAGAGTCTTAAAGATATAAAAATCAGGGGATCCTTGGGTAGTGCAGCGGTTTAGCGCCTGCCTTTGGCCCAGGGCGCGGTCCTGGAGACCCGGGATCGAATCCCACTTCAGGCTCCCGGTGCATGGAGCCTGCTTCTCCCTCTGCCTGTGTCTCTGCCCCCCCCCATCATAAATAAATAAAAATTAAAAAAAAGATATAAAAATCAGTGCATGACCATTAATTGGATTCCGTTTTTTAAAAAAAAGATTTATTTATTTGAGAGAGAGTGATAGAGAGTGAACATGAGTGGGATAAGGGGGAGAGGGAGAGGGAGAGAATCTCAAGCAGACTCTCTGCTGAGCTTGAAGACTGATGTGGAGCTCAATCCCATCACCCAAGATCATCACCTAAGCTTATTTCCCAGAGTTCATGACCTGAGCTGAAATCAAGATTCAGATGCTTAACTGACTGAGCCACCCAGGTGTCCCTAGATCCTGTTATTGTCTATTTTTAAACAGCTATAAAGTATATTTCTGGAACTGAAAAAAACTTGAGTATAGACTACATATTGCATGATATTTTGAATTAGTATTGTATTTTTAGCTATAGTTACAGTGACATAGTTGTGTAAAGGAATGTTTTTGCTTTGAGAAGATGTAGGCTGCAGGGGCACCTAGGTGGCTCAGGTGGTGAAGAAGTGGACTCTTGGGTTTCAGCTCAGGTCATGATCTCAGGATTGTGAGGTCACGCTCTGCACTCAACGGGGAGTCTGCTTCTCTCCCTCTCCCATTGCAAGAATGTGCGCACTCTCTAAAAATAAATCTTAAATAAAAGAAGAAGATGACTGAAATACTTGGGATAAAGTGTCATAATACCCGCAAACTACTTTTGGGAAGTTTGGCAAAAAGGTATATGTGGGTGTATGTGCATATAGAAAGAGATTTGAGCAGCATGGTAAAGGCTAACAGTGATAGGGTATACAGGTATTCATTGTACTCTTTTTTCAACTTTTCTATGGACTTGAAATTTTTTGAAATAATTTTACTTTTTACTTTTTTTTAATTCAAAAAGTATAAGTCTGGTGAAGAAGTGCATCTTTCTATTCTGCTGGAGAGAGTAGGAACATAGGAGAATATAACTGTCCTTCAGTCAAGTTATCATTTTTTTAAAAAGATTTATTTATTTTAGAAAGAGTGTGAGTGGGGGAGGGGCCAAAGGAGAAAGAGAAGCCAACCCTGCGCTGAGCATGGAATCTGACGGGGGCTTGATCTAACCAACTTGAGATCATGACCTGAACTGAAATCAAGAGTTGGAGGCTTAACCAACTGAGCTACCCAGGTGCCCCATTACCATTTTTATTATATTTTTCTTAACTGTGATGATTCAACCAACCATGTCACATGGCTAAGACTGACTTTCTGAAGGTTTCTTTCTTGTATCACAAAGGCATAAGAAGGAATGCTGAACTTCCAAGACAATTTGTCAAAGTTGTAACTTAAAAACTAGGAAGAATACATGAAATACTGGAGTGAATTGATCACCAAAATAAATTAGATAAAATTTAAAAGGAATAAGTAAAAAGTGCCAAATTTAGGTTCAATAGATTATTATTTAATACAAGGAAGCTTGGGTAAACACCAGTACTTTATTTTAAAAAAAAAATGACTCTGGATTTACTGAGGGAAAAATAAAATTACATATTTACCAGAGAGGGATGCGTGGGTGGCTCAGTGGGTGAGTGTCTGCCTTTGGCTCAGGATGTGATCCCGGGGTCCTGGGATCGAGTTCCGCATCAGGCTCCCTGCATGGAGCCTGCTCCTCCCTCTGCCTCTGTCTCTGCCTCTCTCTGTGTGTCTCTCATGAATAAGTAAATAAAATCTTAAAAACAAAAACAAAAAAAAACATATTTACCAGCGAGAGCATTTGTGAACTACTGAAGAGCAAATGAACCCATATTCAAAGAAGATAAAAGAATGTGTGCTCATTGACAAAATAGTGTAATGGTATTACAGTACAGAATTTAGAAGATAAGAATAAATTGAGAATGTTCTATAAGGATATGTTCTATAAGACCAGAAGGCTTAGTAATATCTGTATTACAGAAATTAAGCTAGAGTTGCAAAGAAAAATTTTAAGCACTTGTTAACATTTTAGGATATTCTAAAAGAAGGATCAGCAAACTATAGTCTTTAGTCCAAATCCAACCTATCACCTGTTTCTAGATCACCAGTTTCTACTGAAGAATAGTTTTTACAAACGAATATTTGTGAGCAACTTAACAGAAATCAGCTTTAAAAAAAAAAAGATTTTTATTTTATTTATTTGACAGAGAGAGCAAGCCAGAGAACACAATCAGGGGGAACAGCAGAGGGAGAGGGAGAAGCAGGCTCCCTGTGGAGCAGGACCCTGGGATCACGGCCCGAACCAAAGGCAGCCGCTTAACCAACTGAGCCGCCCAGATGCCCTAAGAACATCGGCCCTTAACTCTAGTTAAGCAAAATGCCACCCCTAAAAAAGGAATGGTATTCTTATCATGGATTTGTATTGCAAAAAAAATTTATTCATTTATTATATTTTAAATTTCATTACCAAAAAATTTTGTGAGACTTTGTTTTCTTTCTTGTTATCTAAGTACCTATATAGTATCTTTGATTCTGCCTCACATCCTGCAAAGTCTAACATATTTACCATCTGGGCCTTTACAGAAAAAGTTTGGTAACCCCTTGTTCTCTTAAACACTATAAATGGGATAAGTGGAGACCACTGAGGACTCCCCAGACCAGTAAATTAAAACTAACCGTCTTACAACTCATCTTTGACAAAGCAGGAAAACATATCCACTGGAAAAAAGACAGTCTCTTCAATAAATAATGTGGGAAAATTGGACAGCCACATGCAGAAGAATGAAACTAGACCATTCTCTTACACCATACATAAAGATAAACTCAAAACAGATGAAAGATCTAAATGTGAAACAGGAATCCATCAAAATCCTAGAGAAGAACACAGGCAGCAACCTCTATGACCACAGCTGCAACAACTTCTTACTAGACACGTCCCCAAAGACAAGGGAAACAAAGGCAAAAATGAACTATTGGGACTTCATCAAGATAAAAAGGAAACAGTCAACAAAACTAAAAGGAAACCTACAGAATGGGAGAAGATATTTGCAAATGACATACCAGATAAAGGACTAGAATCCAAGATCTATAAAGAACTTATCAAACTCAACACCCAAAAAACAAACAGTCCAACCACGAAATGGACAGACGACATGAACAGACATTTCTCCAAAGACCTACACATGGCCAATAGGCACATGAAAAAATGCTTCATATCACTTGTCATCGGGGAAATACAAATCAAAACCACAATGAGATGCCACTTTACACCAGTGAGAATGGCTAAAATTAGTAAGACCGGAAACAAATGTTGGCCAGGATGTGGAGAAAGGGGACCCTCTTACACTGTTAGTGAGAATGCAAAATAGTGCAGCCACTCTGGAAAAGTGTGGAGGTTCCTCAAGAAGCTAAAAATATAAATACCCTAGTGAAATGATGGGACACCTGCACCCCAGTGTTTATAGCAGCAATGCCCACAATAGCCAAATTACAGGAAAAAGCCAAGATGTTCAACAGATGAATGGATAGAGCAGTTGTCTATAAATACAATGGAATATTACTCAGCCATTAGAAAGGACAAATACCCACCATTTGCTTCAATGTGGATGGAACTGGAGGGTATTATGCTGAGCGAAGTAAGTCAATTGGAGAAAGACAATTATCATATGGTTTCACTCTTATGTGGAATGTAAGAAATAGTGAAAGGGACCATAAGGGGGAGGGGAAACCAAGTGGGAAAATTAGAGAGGAAGACAAACCACGAGAGACTCCTGACTCTGGGAAACAAAGGGTTGTGGAAAGGGAAGTGACTGTGGGAATGGGGAACTGCGTGATGGGCATTAAGGAGGGCACATGATGTGATGAGCATTGGGTGTTATACCATACGTTGGCAAATTGAATTTTTAAAAATGTTTGGGGACGCCTGGGTGGCTTAACAATTGGGTGTCTGCCTTTGGCCCAGGGAGTGATCCTGGAGACCTGGGATTGAGTCCCACATCGGGCTCCCTGCTTAGAGCCTGCTTCTTTCTCTGCCTATGTCTCTGCCTCTCTCTCTTTCTGTGTTCTCTCATGAATAAATAAAATCTTTAAAATTAATTAATTAAAAATGTTTGGTAGAATTCAAAAAATAAAAATAAAAATAAACTTAACCTTCTTAGTGAGGAAAAGTTGATGGTGAACTAGGCTGAAGTGTCTACAATTTACTCAAAGCGAGCAGGGCTCAACAATTAGTAATACGTATGCTCATTTTACTAGGGAATCTATGTTTTAAAAGATAGTATACTTATTGAATTATTCTTAAAATATATCCTAATTTTTAAAATGCTCAATCTAGAACCTCAATCAACTATCTTATTTTTGGACAGAACATATGAATTCAGATGCACCCTAATGAGCCTCAATCACTCACTCAGATATAGTTGAATCATGATGGGGTTCCCTGGGTGGCTCAGCGGTTTAGCACCTGCCTTTGGTCCAGGGCTTGGTCCTGGAGTCCCGGGATCAAGTCCTGCATCTGGCTCCCTGCGTGGAGCCTGCTTCTCCCTCTGCCTGTGTCTCTTCCTCTCTCTCTCTGTCTCTCATGAATAAATGAATAAATCTTTAGAAAAAAAAAATAAATGAAGCATAGGAGTACATAAGAATAAGAAAAATTCACTTTTTTAAAGCAGATTTCCTTGGACACAGTTGTAGAATATATACTATGAGACCACATCTATTAACTCAAGGATCCTGAATTTATGGGAAAAACAGCCAAGAATCAGGTAGAAGCAAAAACTTTGATAAATCCAAATGTCACAAAGTGTATGCCCTGAAGCACATGCACCTGACTAATAAGAGAGCGGGTTAGCCCTTAGTCATAGCTTCCATGTTCTAACTGGACATAATTCTATTAAGCTTGGATATGGTTTTCAAAACAGCAGCAAACTACAAGTCTCAAAGTTGGGAGAAGAGCCGTTGCCGACAGGAACAAGAACTGGCGTCGTCAACAGGTAACAGAAAAATGTTGAGGAAGAGTCTGCCGGCAACAGAACAGGTAGAAAAACTAAAAAGCAGACATAAAACGTTAAACGTGTAGCAAGTGTAGAATAAACTCGTAAGAAAATAGTGTAAAATAAACTAGTATAGAAGCAAATAGTCCAAGATGTCTCAATAGGGCCCTGAGGACATCCTTCTATTATGACATATTTCGGCACTGGTAATAACCATATTGATCTGCAAGTAAAGTGTAGATAAAATTGCAAGACAGGGCAGTCCCGGTGGCCCTGTGGTTTGGCGCTGCCTGCAGCCCAGGGCGTGACCCTGGAGACCCAGGATCGAGTCCCACGTCGGGCTCCCTGTATGGAGCCTGCTTCTCCCTCTGCCTGTGTCTCTGCCTCTCTCTCTTTCTCTTTCTGTCATAAATAAATAAATAAAATATCAAAAAAAATTTTTTTTTTAAATTGCAAGACATATAGTCCGTCTAGTAAATCAGGGACCAAAGACACACAGCGCCCAGGGAGTTTCAAACAAAGTGGTTAAAATAAAATAAAAGCTCGGTGCTAAATAAAATATTAAAAAAAATTTTTTTTTTAAATTGCAAGACATATAGTCCGTCTAGTAAATCAGGGACCAGAGATACACAGCGCCCAGGGAGTTTCAAACAAAGTGGTTAAAATAGAAGCTCGGTGCTTAAAAGACAAATGTGCAAAACTTAACATGGTCGTCGACAGCTTAATGCGTATCAATTAATTTGACAAATTACGTTTCAAAGAAAATAGTCCCGTTTTCCTAAAGACAAAAAAAAAAAATAGATACTTCATTGCGTAGTGAGACAAACTGTAACAAATCTGAATTACTGTCCGTAAAGTAGGCCCAAAACCACCAGGATTAGGGGTCGAACTACATACAGTTCATCCCTAAACTCTCAGAAATTAAGTCGGTATACTTGGCAAAGGGGAAAGGTGTGCCCGTTTCGTGCAGGTTGACCTGCTAACAAAGCATCAAAAGCCATCGCGCAATTTAGCCAAGACGGAGAGGAGTATCTTCAAGTATCCACTTAGAAGCATCATTTCGGAACCTCCGTGAATCGCGTGCAGCGAGGAGCTCCAAGGGGACAGGGAACGCAGAGGGCAGCGGGCGGAGGGCCGAGGGCGCGTCTGAATGTCGGTCGCGCCTGCCCCCGGGCCCGCGGGCTCGCCGCGCCGCCGGACTTCGCGCCTCGGCAGCAGGAGCCACCGCCGGATCGCGCGCAACCGGCCGCCAAGCCCACGTGCCCCCCAGCGAGGCTGACGCCGGACGAGGGGGCCAGCCCCAACAGTGCAGGGAGGTGAGGGGGCCTTCCTCCAACATCCGCTCACCTGCTTCCGGGTGTGCGGTCGCCCAAGAGCGGCTCCTGCTCAGCCTCCAACCCCAGGCTCGCCATGATTCCGCCGCCCCCGACGCGGTGTGAGGCCAACTCTCGCGACACCTCCAGCTCCCTCGCGTTCCCCTCGGCCGAAGCTGTCAGAGCGAGCGCGCAAGTGCGCGTGCGCGCCCGGCAATTCGGAGTGGGCGGGGCGAGGGAGGCGGGGCAGAGACTCAGTCACGTGGGAGGCCCGACGGCGCAGGGCGGGAAGAGGGCGGGAAGAGGGCGGGAAGAGGGCGGGAAGAGGGCGGGAAGAGGCCGGGGGCGGGGCCCTGCGTCCTCGCTCCCCTCAGGCCGGCGGGTGTCTCGGGCGCCTGGGACGGTGCGCGCGACGGCCCGAGAGGGTTCGGGGCGTGACGAAACGGCTCCCCCGCCTCCCCGGCCTCGGCTGTCTGCGCCCTTTGGCTCCCGCGTTCCTGGAGAGGCTGCTGTCGCTGCAGCTGGGGCTCCGAGGGAAAGCGAGTCCCGGGAGCCAGGGAGCGGCGGTTCCAGGAGGCTCGGCGGCTGGACAGCAGGCGCCCTCGGCTCGGCCAGTGAGTACGCAGCAGGTCCGGGCCGCGCTCCCCGAGCCCCTGCGCGCGCTGCCTACGTGCCGGGAGGCAGGCACTGGAGGCGCGGGCTCGGCTGCAGGCGCGGGGGTCCCGGCCCCGCTCGAGGCGGGGCTTCAGGCGCGCTGTGGCCGCCCGGGGGCCGGCTGGCGGGCGGTCTCTCCCCCCCCCCCCCGTGGAAGGTGCAATGGTCTCGCGCTGTCGTTGTCTCGCGCGGCCAAATGCAAAGGTGGAGCCTCGTTGGGGCCTGCGTGGGGGCTGTGCAGGTGGGGGTGCAGCTCTTTCTAATCTGCTGACCCTCAGGTCGGCATCTCCCCGCCGCCTGCGCGGACTGGGCGATTTTCAGTCTTGCAAGATGCGTGCCACTCCGCAGACCCTGCTGTTGTGTGTGACCTGGGGGTTGGAAAAGGCCCAGCCTCGGTGTAGCTGTGACCGGCTCCTTTCATCATAAAGATGACATTTTTATTTTTATTTTTTTAAGATTTTATTTATTTATTCATGAGAGACACACACACACACACAGAGAGAGAGAGAGAGAGAGAGAGAGAGAGAGAGAGAGGCAGAGACACAGGCAGAGGGAGAAGCAGGCTCCATGCAGGGAGCCCGGCGGGGGACTCGATTCCGGGTCTCCAGGATCAGGCCCTGGGCTGAAGGCAAGACGCTCAACCGCTGGGCCACCCGGGCTGCCCAAAGATGACATTTTTAGAAAGCACGGGTGTTTCAGTTTTGTTTCAGTAGATCTTGATGCAGTCTCTTTCCTGGTGCTCACATATTAACATCTTCTGCGAGTAGGCTTGTAAGCTAATTGGTAGCAGTGGTCATTATGTGTCTCATGATTATTGTTTTATTAGGACTGATACACTCTCCTGTGATTTCATTTGATTACAACTGGTCCTGTGAGATAGGTAGAGCAGACACGTTTCTGTTTTATAGAAAACTAAGGTTCAGAGAAGTAGACAACTTACCCAGAGCCGCTTGGTGTGAAAGTGGCAGAATTGGGACTCAATTCGGTTAATTCGACCAATATTTATAAGCAGCTTCCCTGTGCCAGGCCCTATATTAGTTATCTGTTCTGTGGTATATAGGCCATGACTTTTGACTTTTGTCTTGTTTGTGACCTTCCTGTGTTTATCCTAGCAGGCGTATTCCACTGGTGAGCAGCTAAATTTGAAATGTGTTTCCTCTTAGTTCAGAACTGTTTTCTTTTCTTTTTTTTTAGATTTATTCATGAGAGAGAGAGAGAGAGAGAGAGAGAGAAGCAGAGACACAGAGGGAGAAACAGGCTCCATTCAGGGAGCCTGACGTGGGACTAGATCCCAGTTCTCCAGGATCAAGTTCTGGGCCAAAGGCAGGCACTAAACCGCTGAGCCACCCAGTCGTCCCCAGAACTGTTTTCTGAATCCAGACCTGATACTTTGTGCTTGGATTCAGTCTTGCAAATTTGTTTGTAACAGCTCCAAGAATTTACCAGATTCCCATGACTGGTTCCAAGAGGGTATATTGGTAAAAAACATTTGTGTGTGTGTGTGTGTGTGTGTGTGTGTGTGTTTGCCATAACGTTGCTTTAATGTATCAGTGACTTCTTTTTTAATCCCTGAAATCTAGCACTGTATGTGTGTGTATTTCATAAAGGAACTTTTTTTTTAAGGTTTTATTCATTTATTCATGAGAGAGAGAGAGAGTTAGAGACACAGGCAGAGGGAGAAGCAGGCTCTCTGCTGGTAGCCGGATGCAGGACTTGATCCTGAGACTCAGGGATCCTGGCCTGAGCGGAAGGCAGATCCTCAACCACTGAGCTACCCAGGCATCCCCACAAAGTATTGCACCAAGAAGAATAATTGCTAGATGAATATATGTTGAGTGAGTGCTTATTGACTTACCTCATTTAATCCTTACAACAATCTTCTGTGTTAGTATTCTGTCAAGCATACAAGGAAAGTGAGAGCGTGAAGAGTAGTTAATTTTCCTAGGGTCACACTGCTAGTAAGTAACAGAGCTAGAATCCAAGAAACATAGGACTCCTGACTGTAAAGCGGGTGCTTTTTCACCAACAGCCTTCCTATAAAAATAATTTTAAGAAGAATCTTTTCCTGTATCTCTTAAAATATATCAAAACAAGTGATCAATTTTTATGTAAGTTGAATAATTTGCTACTGTGTGTGTATAGTAGGCCAAATATTATTCCCGTTTTGTAAATTAAGGTGGCATTCAAGGTCACATAGCTAGTGAAGAAACCCAGGTCTTCTGACACCGCTATTTTCCATTGCTACCTCCAAGTGATGACTTTAGACCACAAAAGTACATGGAATGAATGTGTGTAGAACTGGTGAAATCTAAGTAAGCTCTGTGTATTGTACCATAGGAAAAAAAAAAAAAGAAGAAAAAAATCATTTTTTAGGAACAGTGCACCCAAAGAAATATTTTAAGAATATTTTAAGACTCTTAATTACTTTCTTTAAAGCCCATAGAAAAGTAGAGCTAAATTTGAAGAGAGATTAGATTATTTGCTGAATGTTTCACATAGGATATGAAACAATTCACCTGTTGAATTTCCTTCCATGACTTCTTAGATATCCATCTCTCAAAACAACTGAGCAAATAAACTTCCTATTTATGTGTTAACTTTATGAAGATAAAAATCCAGGAAAAAAAACAGGATTTCATTGTTTAAATGCTTAAGAATTAGAATGATAGGGATGCCTGCGTGGCTCAGCAGTTGAGCATCTGCCTTTGGCTCAGGGTGTGATCGTGGTCCCAGGATCGAGTCCCACATCAGGCTCCCTGCATGGAGCCTGCTTCTCCCTCTGTCTGTGACTCTGCCTCTCTCTTTCTGTGTTTCTCATGAATAATAAATAAAAATCTTTAAAAAACAATTAGAGTAATAGGAGATAAAAGTAGTATATGGCACTGTAAGTACTATATAGACACTGAGTGCCGCTTCAGTAATAGAGCTCATTTCTAGGAAAGACTTTTCATTCCTTAGCATTGCAGTAGAACTTCTATTTTTGTAGAAGTACTTCGATTTTTCCTTTTGCACTGGCTATATTAAAACATAGATGACAGTTGTATCCGTTTGGCTTGATATATACTTCAAAAATGGATCCTGTCTCTGCAGAAGCTCACTGGTGTCAATCCAGCCTGATATAGAGGCTTTAAGTATCTTATGTGGATCTAGATGGTGCCTCTCTCTGGTGAACTAAAGTTATCTTTACCCTAGACTTAGGTTATCATGATGGCACTGGATAGCAGTTAGCCCTACCCAGAAGACTTATGTGTTTAGAACGTCCCAGAAAACATGGTTGTTAATATTATTCTTGGGACTGAAATGGGATTTAAGAAGTTCTTTGTAATCCTAAACTCCATAACCAAACTTATAGCAAGTTATGTGTGTATTTGATTTGTTTTCTATAACTTAATTGGCCAGTCGTTTATTGCAGGTAAATATAGCAAGGAATGTACTGGCTCTAGATTTTAAATGCTGACTGTTATAGCCTATATTATAAGGAATTAAAGTGATTTGGAAAGCTTTTCTGGTATAGGATTGAAAATTAGAAGTGACTAAACAACTTAGACATATAATAAACATAGTACTTTAGAAAGTATTTGAGGAGTTCATTGTTTTCAGGTCCTTTCCTGCTTCCCTTGAACTTTTTACTTTTGTATATTTTTTTGTCTTTGTTTACCAACTGAGAAGAATATTGGGTAGAAAAATAGGATGTCTCATGAGGAGTTTTCTTCTTACTGTAAATATGAGTTTTGGAATTTGGGATTTTTTTGGGGGGGATTTTTTTTTTAATGCGAATATGGAATCTGCTTTTTGCTGTTGAAGCTGTACATGTTACAGAGGAAGACATCAGCCCCCATCCCTTTCCAGCCATTATAGAGAAAATAAATGGCCCATGATGATGATATGTTATATGGTAAAGTTAATAGTATGACACTTCCATAGTTACATTAAGTTATATTAGACTTTGCCTTGCTAGCATACTCAGTCTCACTCTCCTGGTGGCCTTGAGAGGTAAGCTGCTTTTTTGTGAACTGTCTACGAAGAGAGCCACATGATAGGGAACCATGGATAGCCCCTAGGAGCTGAGGTTGGCCTCTGGGTGACAAATAGCAAAATATTGACACTTGCAGCCCTGTAGCTGTGAGGAAAAGCTGAGTGAGCTTGTAAGCAAGTTTTCCCCCCTCAAGCTTCCAGATGAGAACACAGCCCAGCTGATACTTTGATTGAAGCTAGATGAGACCCTAAAGCAGAAAACCCAGGTAGGCTGGGTTCTTAGAAAGTAATCCTCAAGAAAAGGAAGTGAGAGGTTAGGGAAACCAGTTAAAGAGATCTGTTCTTCAGATTTCTATTTAAAAGCATTAGTGAGGCCTTCAAATATTTAAATCATGGCATGGCATTTTTATGAAGAGAACAATACATGCTTTGAATCTGTTCTTAGATCAGTAGGATAATGAACTACTTATGCTTACTGAGAAAGTTATCAAGAGGGAAAGAAAGTATCAATTCTGAAGAATTTGGAAGATAGATTATCAAATTAACTCCAGTTTCTAAATTTCCTTTTTTTTTTATTGTGGTAAAAATATGTCATATAAATTTACCATCTTAACCATTTTTTTAAAAGATTTTATTTATTTATTCATGATAGACATAGAAAGAGAGAGAGAGAGAGAGGCAGAGACACAGGCAGAGGGAGAAGCAGGCTCCATGCCGGGAGCCCGACGTGAGACTCGATCCCGGGACCCCAGGATCACGCCCTGGGCCAAAGGCAGGCGTTAAACCGCTGAGCCACCCAGGGATCCCCTTTCTTAACCATTTTTAAGTGTACAGTTCAGTGGTATTAAATTCATTCGTAGTGTTGTGCAAACATTACCACCACTCATCAATAGAAGTCTTCATCTTGCAAAACTGAAACTCTCTACACATTAGATAATACTCGCCCCCTTTCCCCATCCCCTCAGCCCCTGGGGATTCTGGTTTC